TCATACTCCATCTTCATATAAATGTACAATTATGACACTGGTATATATATAATAATGTTAAAACTGATAATATAATTATAACTGATAATATAATTATATAACTAATTATATATAATAAGATTATAACTGATAACATATATTTTATCAGTAATAAATGTCAATTTAGCCTTTTTGACCTCATAGACAATGTTTGTTTGTTGTTTAACACCGCACTGATCAATAATCCATCCTTATGACAGCGGTCACTAAATGATAAAGTCAGGACCAGACAATCCAGTGATTGACATCATGAGCATCAATCTACACAATTGGGATACAATGAAATTCTGATTTAACTTTATCTAGAAAACAGAATCTAGTAAATCAGTGGCATTGAGACATTTCCTGATTTTTGCCAAAATTTGATGTTACATTCAGAATGCCAAAAATTAAAACAATCTTCAGGACACTTTAGATGACAGCCATTGAGTGTTCAAGAAACTTCGCCTATCTGAAAGTCTACATAATAATTGTTGTCAAACTAGCATGTAACCTTGACAAGCACTTGTCATGCTATTAAAACATTTCAATGGTCTGCCAATTGGTCAACCATATGGGCCTACACATAAATTGTTATTTAACCAGAACAGATCACTGTGCTAACACCTTCATGGTTTTAAATAGCCATGTTATTAAATGTCTTCCTCTAGTCCTTTAGATGATATCTGTAATAAAAACATTAAAAGACACAAAATACTACCAGTCCACATCCAACACTTCCCACATCTCCAATTGTATGGCATTAACTACTAAATAAGCAGAGGTTAACTGCCCTCCAAACATAGAGCTAACTGCTTATATAAACATAATCAGACATCAGAGATTAGAGGGTGTGAAGATATCCCGGGCAGTAAGCATATTGTCTCAGGGTATTCAGACACAATTTAGTGGCAGGCCACAATGAGCTATAACTCCACTGCCGAGTAGCCCCCTAGGCTCTGAATCAACATGGCCTAGCGAACTGTTACATAATCTATTACCCTCCTCATTAATTACTGGCTGCCTATCCTTGGCTAATCTGGATGGACAGTGGGACATCTTTCAGTTGCCAACTGTAGAGAAGCAAGGCTAGTTAGGCCCTTCAGTCCATGCAGTAGGGTGCAAGTGTCACTTAATGGTATATTAGATGTGAAAGTTTGGGATTTCTTACTTGGACTGTTTCTACGCTGGGACTTTCACATCCAGAACTTTTCCACAAGGTAGGATTATGTTGTAGATGTAAAATGTTTTAATCTGTATTACTAAGAATTTGTATGTTCAAATAAATGAAACCTAATGTGAATTTGGTAGGCTTCATAAAATAATAATATGTATTATTTCTTAAATGCTGATTTTTGCAATGGTAAAAAAGTGTACTTTGGGGTAAATGATAGCCAGTGTTTCTTGTCATCCAAACCATCGTTTTACTGTAAAAGGGGAGGCTAAAACATCCATCTGTGATGTCAAGTTGACTTTCGGAAACCTGCTAATAAAATAATTACTGATCCATGTCAAAGACATTAACAGACATGTTCTTGTAAAGCCTTACACGAAGCCATGTCAAACTTGTTTGAGGAAACACTTCACTTTTGAAGGTCTTGCCTGAAATTTTAAGGGTTGTCATTACAAAAGACTTGTATATTTTGTGTATATCACTGTATTGACCGGTGATCCTAGTTAATGATGTTATGTTATATTGTGCAGATTATTGTATGAACTCGTTAGTGCAACCTATATAACTAATGACGCATTGCTAGTCAAATATGTCATAATGTTTGTTACATTTGCAATATTTCAATAAAAATGGGTCAAATGCCTTTCCCTTGCATGACCCCATTGGGAGAGCCATGTGGAATATGGTCAATTAATTGTTCAATAGTACAATTAATGAGAACAAGAGCTGTGTATCACATGTCTAGATGGGCGCCGGCAAGAGTCGAGACGAGGCGACTCCAGTGTCAGGTGCAGGTGTGACACACTTCATGGTTGATGATGGAAACGGTTACAGTAAATCAGAGTATTTATTTTATGAAACACTGTTTGACCCACTCAGCATAAACGTGTGCTTTGTTGTGAATAAAAAATTATACAGATTTACAATAAATAACATATATGAACAATTGTATATATAACATTTATTTCATGTTTGGCTGTTATTATTCAATTATCTACTAAGTTGAAAACATCATAAGCAAATATTATGTATTTAATGATTAATGATTAAATGTGGTAAAAAAATATACAAGCTAATATAGGTTACTGTTTTGCCCCAAAGGAATTTAAGGTTTTGCTTGTTTGTATCCCTCAAGCAAACTAGTCTGAAAATCAAATTAAATTAATAAAATTTAAATTAGAAATTAAATTAAGATTTTTGAGCAGTTGTTAATTGGAAAATGTGCTATACAAATTCTTAAAGAAGTTGTATTACGTATTTTCCAATTATCAACCGCTCAAATGCACTTGATTGATTCTAGATGAATGTTTTGCCTGAATCCATTTTAACTAGCTCTATACTCATTGATCCAAATTGTGTGGATCGATGCTCAAATGTCAGTCACTGGATTTTCTGATCCAGACTCGATTATTTACAGACCGTCGCATATAGCTGGAATATTGCTGAGTGTGGTGTTAAACAATAAACACAGCACTATACACATGTACCCGGTAAATTATACTGCAATGAGCTTGTGTGGAAGGTGTAGCCATGCATACTGTAATGGTCCCAAATGGTGATGTGATTCATAAATAATGGATATGATAGTGGCGATATAAAAGCTGCTTTTGTAAACACTACCTAAAAACTGTAGTCACAAGATACTAGCTGTACACTGCCTGTTTCAACCTGTTGGTGATACAGTTTCTGGGTACACAGGCAGGTGTGCGCGACACGCTACAGGATGCCACTCTATGCGTATCTGTAATGATACGAGATCATTGTTGAGTGGCATCCCACCGAAGCAACAGGTCTGTGCATTTGTAGTTGACGAGGAGTGAAGATAATCTTGTTTAAGCAGGTCCCCAAGTACTTGAATTTATCAGCTACAAATAAGAATGAAACTTGTATTAAATCATCATTGTTATCATCAGGCTGTTGACGGAACAGGTAATATTCAGTGATTCACATGTTTCTATAATAACCGACTGATATTGCCCAACAAGATTCTTGGTTAATATTTACTTTTCCCCCAAAATTAGGAATCATAAAAAGTTTTTGGGACGTTTTTTTTTGTAGCCGCCAAATATTCATGATATTTAACATTTTTGTTGTGTGTTAAAGGTCAGTGCCCTGGTACTGTATGGCAGTGGGATGCTAGATGGTTGTGTAACACTATGATACGTAACGTCGAGGTAACAATATTGCTGCAGTGTCTGTATGTTCAGGTCACACCAACTTTCTTGCCTGCTGGCCATGGGAAGGGACTTTAAAAGTTTGACCCAGTTTTCAACACATGTACATGTTAGGCCATGTTAACAAACTAGAACGGCTTTTCAGGTGTGGCCCCATTAAATTCAGTATTGCATGGTTCGTATATTTTTCCCCAGGAGTAATCTCCGACCTAAAAGGTCGGGGATATGTAGTTATACCAAGGTTCCGTCTGTACGTCTTGTCGTCTGTACGTCCGTCCGTCCGAGTGTCCATCCGTCCGAAAACTTTGTCCGCGCGATTTCTCTCTATTCAGTGGATTCATCTCAAACTTAGTACATATAATCTGGAGGGGTGCAGTCAAAAGAAAATGAATTGTTTTTATTAATTATCCATTTTGTTATGAATTTTTCAAACCCTAACCCTATTCATTATTTAATTTGAAACTACTGACACACTAGACGGGTCGGGGGTATTAGTGAGCCACGCTCACTTTTGCCCTTGTTGATTAATGTTTTAGTCACGCCACAGTAACTGAATTGGGACGACTGTTTTATATAACATTGATTGTGGTTGTTTCCATGGCAACATTTAGTGCATGTACGTTTTCACATAGACATTTATTGAATTGTAAACTATCTCGGGATAGAGTGGCACAGCTGTCAGAATAAGCAGAAAACACATTAAAAATAGGTTTGACTCAAATTATTTTGATAGAATGATGTCTGTCATGTATTTTGTAAGTTGGCTTGAAGTGCGACAGCGTACCTCCCGGTATGCCAAGCATCTCATCCAGGAGGGTGGCATCTGGTAAGGGAGCGTATTTGTGTAAGGGTCGTCACCATGGAGATAGAGCATACAGCCCCATTGTGAGCCAGGTGAAAGACTCATCCCTCTTCACCAGCAGGTGCCCTGTAGATTGTATAGGTCTGTCCCCTGACACTGTAGCCAGTCAACTGTGCTGGAGGACTACTGCCACTTACATGGTCACTGGAGCTTAAGGAGGTGTGACATGTTGCATATTGTCCCTGTAAATCAGTGATATCCCAGGGGCTGCTTTCATGGGGTTTAGGAGCCTGAATTCCCAAACATGGATAACAGTAAATTTTGGGGCTCAAACATTAAGTTTTAAATTGGCGTCACCAATTCCAGCATTTGGTCTGACCAGCTTGACATTGATTAATTAGGTTGACAACATGCATTCTCCATTGTGGTGGAACACAACATTCAAATCATTTGTCTTTTTCATGCTTTGGTTTACCATGATATATTCAGGTTCTTTGAGTTAATTTAATTTCTTACAACAGATAATTTCTCTATAATAGTGAAATTATATGAAAATGAACTGTTATTTCAAATATCTTTTAAAAGACTTTCATATTGGTTGACCAACTATTGTTTCAATACAACTGTTGAAAATAGAATCGGATGCCGATATCAGTAAAATTAACAAAAATTGAAGGTGTCACATTGCATGTGACATCTCTATGAAGGGTGGGGGACATAACATCACATTATCTAAAGGTGAGAAACATGAAAAATATCGGAGAATCAAATTAAACCAAGTACAAAGTGTTTATAATTATAGTGGATGAAAATTGGCTTTTGTTTGTTGCAGGCCAGACAAGGTGACAACATAACATCATGGCTCCCAGCAAGAGTGCTGACGAGAGCGATGCCTCTATGAGGCAGAGACTTGTCAACAGTTTGAGCCAGAGTTTCCCTGGAAGTGCCCTATCTAAAGCATTACAGTGTCTGACGGACTCCGAGGATGAGATGAAGGCTGATCCACTGAGCAGTAGTTGTTTCGCTGAGTTGCGGACTGAAAAACTCGATGTTGAGGAGGATGACGAGCTGACAAGTTTGTCATGGTTACAGGACAGTGATTTGCTGAAGAACATCAACGCAGGGGAGGGGGCGGATGAGGTGGATGGACAGAAGGAAAATGGGGAAGCGGGCAAGCTGACGCCAGGATTTTCACAAGCTCATCCTCCACATGTTCCATACAATCCTCAAAAACATATAAACAGCAAACCGCCATATTCATTCAGTTGTTTGATATTCATGGCCATCGAGGACTCACCGATCAAGAGGCTCCCTGTGAAGGATATTTACAATTGGATACTTACGCATTTTCCGTACTTCCAAAATGCTCCGACTGGTTGGAAGAACTCTGTGCGGCATAACTTGTCACTTAACAAATGCTTTAAAAAAGTGGAAAAGGATAAGGGTCAGGTAAGTGTTGCTGACATTTTTGGTATTTAAAAAACATATACAGTAAACTACGATTATAACGAACTCAAAGGGACCTCTAACCATAGTTCGTTATAAGCCTATATACAGCAAATGATCAGGATCAAAACACATTCCATTATATTCGTCAGTTCGTTATAAGCATGTTCGTTATAAACGTAGTTGCTGTATATATGGAGATGCAGGTATTATATCAGCTCAGACTGCGTAGTATGACCAGTATACCAGTATACCGCAAATTGTTTTCAAACTATACATATTGGAATATTTTTTCCAGTTTATTCGGTAAAAACAACTATAACGAGTTTCGTTTGCATCGCTTGACCTAAATTCAGTACTAAAATTGATTCAATGATATTCCCCTTGAAAATGACTATCAAAACGGCAGAATTGTGAAAGTGATTTCACTCTCTACTATTATCTCCCCTGTATCCATGACTACAAAATGGCAACGACTGACCATTTCGACTTTGACTTAATATAAAATAGGATATGCATGTCAATCACTTTGGCTCCCAAGATATTGCAATACATATCGCAATACGCGATGGCCAGGTTAGGGTCAAGGGAGCAGTTCCACAAAGCGACAATTGTAAGTCTGACTTGGTGCATTAGGATCACTTCGTGGAAAGGCTCCTTGACTAGAATATGCAGACTGGCTGTGTCATTATGCCCAGCAAGAATGTGCTCATGCTGTCAACCACCAGTCTGTCGGGTCAAGGCCATCATGCCCCTGTGGTGATTGTGGGTTAGAACGGGTTCCCAGCAACCTAGACTGGTTGTAAGAGGTGACCAATAGATCGGGTGGTCAGCAGGGTTAAAAACTAACAGTTTTTGTCCACTAGTCCTTATGATGATAACATAGCAAAACCCTTAAAAAGGGCAAATTTCTACTAGTTCCTTCTGATACCTTTACCATTGGGCAGTTTGGCAAGGACTCTAGGACTAGTGCCAATTTCTAACGCTGGTCAGTCTTGTTAACTTGGTTGATGGCGTGTCATACTTGGACGATGCAGATCGTTCCTCACAATATCTTCCACTGGAATGGGGGCGGTCGGGTAGCCTAGTGGTTAAAGCGTTGGTTGTCACGCCGAAGACCCGGGTTCGATTCCCGACATGGGTACAATGTGTGAAGCCCATTTCTGGTGTCCCCCGCCTTGATATTGCTGGAATATTGCTAAAAGCGGCGTAAAACTATACTCACTCACTCACTCACTCCACTGGATTGCCTGGGCCAGGCTCACCGTCGAAGAGCTGGGATATTGTTGAGTGTGGAGTTTGACAACAAACATCTGGCATCATGCTATGGGATACAATTGACTGCGTCCATTGACTTGCACAACGTGTCGTGGACATTGATGTAGTATATCTTGTTATTTCCTGCATCTAAATAGCCTATGGATGATGAAATCACGTTTAACTGTTATCGTCCACATTACAACATAGTATCAATATTGATGGATTATGATGCTTTGTTTTTTCAATCAGCTCAGGGTTTTTAGTAGCCTTGTTCCAAGGCTGCACTGTCCATTTTTGTGTAGCAATTCTGTCCTTATAATAGGCAAGTCTGGATAAGCGGACCAAGGATGCCAGTTTTTTATAGAGAAAACTTGTTCTTATTCTTAAAGATTTATATTTTATTGATATTTTATTTTATTCATATAGTCTAGAAATTATGATTTAAACTAATAATTATTGCCTAAGACTTGTGCAAGTCTAGGTTTTAAATGCTAAAAATGTTCGACAATTTTTTTATTTCAAATACTAAAGAGAGCTAGCACATAGCTAATTACCAGGCTTAGCTAATTGCAGTAGGTTAATATCTACTTCCTGTATTGATCATGTTGATATACATCGCAGTTAATACCTGGAGCTGAAATGTATACATTCACAAACACCTTGCCTCTCCTTACATTGACTGTACATTGTGGCCATGAAATCTGGTTTATCCAGGCAATTATCCCATCAAGACCTCATACCTGGGGTATCAATGCCCTAATCTTTCACCTTTGTCCATCATTCATTGATTAAGCACTACACAGGGCAGTCGTGCTCGGAGGTGTTACCGAGACATGCTGAGGATCTTTGAACAGTTTGTCTACTCAGCAACTGTGATCTCGGCTGTATGAGGAACACAGGCGTTCTGCGAGGGAGCATGGTGGTGACATGACATGCTGTGATAGTAGACGGGTGACTAGGCACAATCAAAGTCCCTGTTTCACAACCTGGTCAGTATTGACACATTGTGGAAGTGTCAGGAAGCTGTCGACAGCTTGAGTGGCCCAAACGGAAATACATTGTAAGATTTGCCGATTGGTCCCTGTTGTTGTAATGTCATATCAATATCTGAAGCACACGGCCGAGCGTTCCTGTTGAGTGTTGTGAGCACTAATAGCCATTGTGAACAATTGATTTACCTGTATGTCTAATTGCTGACTAAGTTGCACCATAAATTAGAACAATCAACATTTTCAATAGACTAAAGCACTAAGCCCCTATGTAATTTCCCAATTATCCCCGGGGAACAGCTAAATAAGGGAAGGAAGAATAACTAGTAAATCTGAGCACTACTGCAGGCTTCATTTTCACTTAACGTATTCGACGTAATAACACCCAGGGCACTCTCAAAATTTGAAATAGGGGGCTCTTATTAGAATATTATTTTGCTGAAAAAAACCCAGAGTTAAAGGATAAATATGCTGACAGCCTGAACTGTTTATATACGACATATATATTTTCCAGAATTTAATTGCCCAACATAACTGTGCATATAACACACATATTATACGTGAATAAATAAGTCTTGTGTACGTTGATCAATCAGAAGGGGTGCTAATTGGGATTGTTCACTAGCCAATATATTAGCAAATATCGCCATGGGCGCTTATTAGAGCGGGGCGCTTATTTTGTCGCTTATACGGTATATATATATATATATTTTTAAGAGTCTATTATATTAGAAATTAGAAGTTAGAACCAATTTCTGATTGAAATGGAAAATAATGTTACTATATGTTAATGGACTACTAAAAAAAATTAAGAACACTTGATTTTTTCATATGACTATGGTTAATCTGTCATCTTGTGACAGATTAACTATGGCCATGTGAAAAAAAAGGTGTTTTTTTTAGGAGTATATTTATAATTTTGTAGTTGCATGTTTATGGTGAAAAAAATGTCTTCAGCTTAGTAAGAATTGTAAAAGTTTATTGATAATCTTAATTGACACCTCTTAAGGGGATTTCGGATTTGGAAATGATACCCAGTAACCAATGCTTGAGTGTGAGACAACTAAATGTATCGACTTGTATCGACTCATTGATAGTGTGTCACCATGCACTGATGGGACTTCACTCATACGATCAATCAATGGCTCAGACTTATAAATACAGCAGAAATAGAAAAAGAAGGATTGAACAGTAGGGAGCAATGAATGAATAAGTGATAATATATATAAGTTTTACTCTCTCATCTATGAGAATAATAGCACTGAAGTGTAGCTGTGTGGCCTAACACAACCTGATTGTGGTGCACTCAGCCACATCTCTCTCTCTCTTATATATATCAGTTATGACAAGGGGGTCGGAGGTCGCATGCTAAAGGTTAGAAAAGGCCACAGTCTCAGATAATCTCGTGTTCCTATTTTCTGGTGTAACTTTACAACGGGTTATGAATGATCATGTTTCCTGGGGATAAGCAAGATGCGACCTATAGCTGCTTGTAATCAGCTCTTGTGAGGCCCCTTATCACCGTGGTATGAGAGATGACTTGGCAAATTATCCTATACATATCACACACGAGAAAGCTGCAGTGAGATGAAGGGCCTTAATTATCAGTAGAGAATACTACTAGTTGTGACATTAGGACGGAAACAGCAAGTCTCAACAACACTTCAACAAGTGTCAGTATTAAACATCGAAGCTCCCTAGTCAGCGGGCAGCTAGGTTGGGGATTGGAATTTTGTTTTGCCCTTATATCTATCCTAGCTTTATTATCATTAAGAAACTGATAAAGTTTTCTGTTTTGGGAACAGACTGTGTTATTTTGAAGCCCTTAAATTTGTGACCTTCCCGTTTCCAAACTAACCTTAATCTGCAGCCTTTTTTCATTTTCAACTTAAACCGAATTTACTTTGACCTACTAAACTAGGTGTCCATGGGACACCCTGATAATGGATTTAAAGGGTCCTTACCAAAAGGGTCATGTACAGTTAGGAAATGGTGAAGAGAACTGTACTGTAGGATTTCATAATTACTTAAATTACAGGAATTTTCTTGTTAAGAATTTGGTACATTAAACATTATTGTGTGTCTCCGGGATGCAATATATTTTTTCTGTGTCATCTACTCCATGTGTATAGTAGATGCACATGACTGCGTCGTGTAACACCCTGTCTAGATTAAATCCTGTAATTTTGTTTATTTTATACAACTAGCTTACATTTGTAACAGTTCCAAGGAGTTAAAGGAGTTATGTAGAAAAAAGAAACAAAACAACCTTACTCCACTATTTTGGGATAGGTGACATAGGAGAAACCCTGGGATAGACACTGTCACTAAGCCACTAGTCCGTGACTAGTAATAATCTAGACAGACTAGTTGTTTTATCCTCAAATCTAGTTATGTTACATAACCACTAGTCCGAAATGACCTGAGGACTTTTTATTTTGTTTTCTGAAAATTTTGTGTTGACCAACAATATTTCTGTGTGATTCATAATTTTTTTACATATAGAAAAAAGACAGACCCTAGGTACTAGGTATATTTGTGATATTGAGTGGGACCCGCACCATGAAAATGATACCAGTCATGTACAAGGCGCAAAACAACACCTGGTATAGAATCTTTACTCAACAAAAGTGTACGAAGCCACGCGCGCTCCTATGTCCCGATCTTTATGGGCCTTTCTTCCAGCATGAAAAACCCCCAGGCCCAGTTTCAAGTGACAATGATGGATTTTAAAAATGGCAGGTGGGAGAAAATGCTAGCTTGGTAGTTGCCTTGGCAACTGGTAGCCTTCAGTCGTAAGAGGTCATATTTAAGCAGCCACCATCATGCCTGAGGGTGAATGCTGGTCAGACGGGTGCCCCTATTCACACCATGCTGAAATGTCTCTCCCAAGAACAATACCACTTGCCAGGTCTGTGGTATAAATTGGTCATTAAAGTGTTGATTTCCGAGTTATGCTGCAGTGGAGTATAACCCATCAGCGGTGTACTGATGATAGGTCAAGAGTCACGCATGGCTGCTGCGGCTGTGTCCTGTAGTAGGGTCATGAATAGATAACTCTTACTGATGGTAACATTTGCTTGGATAAATATCAATTATTTATCAGAGCTCTCATCTGTTCCTACATGCAGGCATTTAGTTGAGGAGGATCTATTGAGTGTCTCCACCACTGTAACTCTAAGTTTTGCACGCATACATTCAACAGCTCTCTTGGGATTCATTGATTTGAATATGTGGTTTAGTACCGAATCAATGAAGCCATTTGTCTTTACAAAAGCTAATGAATGAAGTATGGCAATCATTGTTAGTGTTCATTGATTTATATTTTTATCAAATACTACATTTTATTGATATATTATAAGACAGATTGTATGGCTGTATCAATGGGAGACATATCTAAAACAGTTTATTGGATGATTAAGAAATGGAAAGCCCAGAAGCTAAAGAAATTACTGAGGAAGTTTCAGCAGTATGACATGCGTACGTAGTGAGTGAGGGAATATTTTAAAACGCTGCAACTGTCATAAAAATGAAGCGCTGATCCATGTCATTGGTGGCATGTAGGAAAATTGATTGGAAATTTTAGGATTGACATTGATATATATCGATAATAAAATGTATAGATGAAATTATCTTTATTGACCTGCAATTAATCAATTTAATTATATATATATAACTGATGCATTAAGTGCCTAATTTTCTGCATGCCAGATGAAATTATCTATATTGACCTGCAATTAATCAATTTGATTATATATATATAACTGATGCATTAAGTGCCTAATTTTCTGCATGCCAACTGTGACCCCCTCTCCCCCTGTCCATCATAGCCATGGAAACAAATATAAACATTTCTGAGGCAGTGAATTGTTTAGTTAGTATCGATATTAAATACATTTGCATCAATAGGGCATCGAAATAAAATACACCTATACCCAGCGTTAGATATTGGCACTATTCCCGTAGTCCTAGCCAAACTGCCAATAGTCCAATAGTTAAGGTATCACCAGGACTAGTTCTAAGTTGCCATTTTTATGAGTTTTGCAATTTGTTTAAGTTACCAGCTTTTTTACAACATGGCAGTGTTCAGAATTCAGCATGAAAGTCAAGGCGTCATGTCATCCCCAATGTTAGAGGGTACAGATTTAGGGGTCCCTTCATGTGTTCACTGCATGAGTGACGGTTGATGATGGTGATCTGATGCTTACTGTTTTGTGTTTCAGAGTATTGGTAAGGGTTCACTATGGTGCATCGACCCCGACTTCCGACCAAACCTGTTGCAGGCGCTACGAAAGACACCATATCATCCGTATCACCAGCTTCAGATGATGTCGTCCCCGCAGTCAAACATGCAGCTCCCAGTGCTTCCTCCAGGGTATGTATACATACAGTCAGTGGGCAACGTTCTGGGGAAGTATTTGTCTTCAGCAGTCCATGTTTACCTTAAGAGGCGATGAACAGAACTGAGTGGTCAAACATGTATTCTCAACTCACAGTCAAACATGTGCTCTCCACTCCCAGTCAAACATGTACTCTCCACTCCCAGTCAAACATGTGCTCTCCACTCCCAGTCAATCATGTACTCTCCACTCCCAGTCAAACATGTACTCTCCACTCCCAGTCAAACATGTACTCTCCACTCCCAGTCAAACATGTGCTCTCCACACCCAATCAAACATGCAGTCTCCACTCACAGTCAAATATCTCTTCTCAAGTCTCAGTCAAACATGCAGCCTCCTATCTGTCAAACATGGTTTTTCCACGCCCAGTCAAACATGCAGTCCCCAGGCTCCACCTTGTGATCTGGTTTGAACCAGGATACATACATAACTAAGTGCCAGTCTCGTGAACATCACTGCTTCCTGTTGGTAATCACGAAGAATTGGGGACCTAAATAATATTGAAAAGTAATCCAAAATTTCACGAAGCGTGATGCTCAGTTAGGTTATAGCAAAACAGCTATTTGTTACTGAACAATTTGCCAAAATTGACTTTGTGTTGCCATGACAATCTCATGACCCAGAATGCTTTGCCGACATTGTTTGAGAGAGCAAGACATCATCGTTGTCAAACATGGCTGAGGGACTATGTATTTACACAAGTCAGGAGGGGGTTAGAAAGTGTATCGTCATATATCCTCAAACTCCAATACCCCGACTCACCTTGCCTCCTCTCAATCTTTCACCTCTATTCAGATCATCCCAACGTGCCCGTGCATGTTGTACCTGTCATGTTTACCCAGAGCTTGTGGGCTACCCGTGTATTTGTCATGTGTTTATCTTAAGGGGTCTGCTCATACAAGATGATCATAAACATTAAAAAAACATTTTTCAAGTGTTGTTTTCTGTAACAAGCATTATTGCTGGGAGGTATTTATTGAATGAGCCTGAACACTCTCTGGATGTCCTACCAAGAGTGGATGAGAATAGATTTGAATAGAAGTAGATCGTGTTAAAGATCATTTAAAACTAATAAAAGACTATGATTTGTGGCATAGGAGACTATATCAGTATAGGGAAGTATGTGGTAGTGTGGAGATAGACTAGAGAGCATTGGGCAGTATTGAGAGCATCGGGCTGTATAGGAGAGCATTTGGCAGTATTGAGAGCATTGGGCAGTATTGAGAGCATTGGGCAGTATTGAGAGTGTTGGGCAGTATTGAGAGTGTTGGGCAGTATAGGAGAGCATTTGGCAGTATAGGTGAGCATTGAACAGTACTGAGAGCATTGTGCAGTATTGAGAGCATCGGGCTGTATAGGAGAGCATTTGGCAGTATAGGTGAGCATTGAACAGTACTGAGAGCATTGTGCAGTATTGAGAGCATTGGGCAGTATAGGAGAACATTGGGCTGTATAGGAGAGCATTGGGCTGTATAGGAGAGCATTTGGCAGCATAGGAGAGCATTGGGCAGTATTGAGAGCATTAGGCTGTATAGGAGAGCATTGGGCAGTATTGAGAGCATTTGGCAGTATAGGAGAGCATTGGGCAGTATTGAGAGCATTAGGCTGTATAGGAGAGCATTGGGCAGTATTGAGAGCATTGGGCAGTATTGAGATCATGGGGCAGTATAGGAGATCATGGGGCAGTATAGAGAGTATCTGACGAAAGAGTGGAGTCATTGTACAGGACCTCCAACTGGGTCCGCCTGTACACATCTGTGGATCAGATGAGCATGCTTCTGGAGTAGAGTCAACACTTGAGTTGATAAAAATTCACAATTTGCCTTAAATAAAACACCCCTTGACTTGCTACACATTGCTGTGTAGGGAGGCTAAGATAAGATAGCCATGTTAACTTAACAATGGTTAAGTACATCATGAAGTGTGCACTCTCAGGTCAGTTCATCTCCAAGGAATAGTTGTGGGAGGAGCAAGAACACCATTTCATTCAAACCATGTCTTTTTGTCTCCGATTGAGAATCTGGTCGTGATTTGGGTGAACAAACTAAGATTATAGAATTATTTTTTTCTCTAAAACTGTCTGTTTACTATCAAATAGATACACAGGTAAATCCCTGTAATATTTATTTTTGATGTACAACATTCAATTTGTTCTTATGCTGGCTTTTTTTGTTATGTTTTCCTAGTGATAGTTTGTGAAGCGAACAGGCCTTTTTGAGACAGGGCCTAATGTATGAAATGTAGATTTGCCCACATGGAGATGAAGGGTTTGTAATCAGGCCTCTTTTATTGGGAGGTTGAAGCATTATTGATGAATTTTCTGAAGCGAAAGTGGGAACCTGCTGCCATTTTAATACACATATTTCACTTCCCCATCATGGTATTGCAGTTGCCATAGAAACCACACAATGCTTGAAGGTGATGACACTGCCCAATTCTTGTGCCAGACAATCATGGCTGGAGTAGCTGTAGCAAAATTAAATACCTCCAGTGTGTATATGAGCCAGGACAGTGTCATCGATGTGGAGCACGTATTTATTGGATGTCCGTCATGTGGCACAGTGTTTCTGCAATTGTCAGTATGGCAGTAGTGATGAATACCAAAATTTACTGCTGGACTGAAGTGAAGCTGTTGTCTGGTGAGCGACCAATCAATCGAAGGGGGATAGGGAAAGCCTAATGTGGCTTGGACCGGCTAGATTAAGGGAAGATACGCAATCAATGCAGGCTTGTTAATAATGAGCTCTCTGATGGCGTCACAATGTCACTGCGGTAATTGAATTTTATGAATATCTTTAAGTGGTATTGGAAGGCGCGTAGTTCCAGTGTAGGAGGCTGGCCCACACAGCCTATTATGGAGGCGATCACAAAGATCAGACTGTCAGATTATGCAGACAAACATATTTTATGAGATGTCAAGAATTATGTTCCGTGGGTGTGCTTATGAATATATAAAAATTCAAAACAAAAATTTAAACTCTTGCCTTTAGGTATGAACTCTCATTGTCACTGAATACAAGGGAAGTACAGGGTTTTACCTTGACCCACAAAACTAGTGGTCAAGCACAATTAATATTTTAAGGGTCCTCTTAGGAAAAATGAGGATCCTGTGAAGTAATGAAATATGGTCTAGTGTAACGCACTGTAAGAATAATATTTAGTTTAATTACAGGAACTTTGTAATTTTTTGTCAAGAACCCTGGAAATATATTACTGGGACAATGGTTGGTGTGTTGCATCCCCATGCTGCCAGGACAACTTGTTCTGGGTTTGAACCCCATTCCCTGAATATCTTTGGTTTGTCTGCACCACATTTGAATTCATGAACAGCTTGTGTCACTGGTGGCTTTTTATGCCTTAACTTGGTTCGCAGTGTTGAAAATACTGAAATCCTGTTCGAAGCTCACTCAAATGTTTACTATATTTCTTACAAGGTACATTTTAGAAACTGATTGTGCATATACAAAATGTTTTTGTTCGTTTCAGTTGCCATCGGCCCTTTCCCTTGTCCCCTCGATCAGCACCCAACACAATTTCACCTCGTAAGTAGTTTCTGTAGAGGTCACGTCATGTCACGGCTGCTGCTGCTGCTGCTGCTGCTGCTACTGCTACTGGGATAGGAGTGTAACGATACAGCAGTATTGTGATACATATCACTGACTCCACACAGTAGGGATCCTCGGCAATATATATGCATCATGAAACTTCCCATAATGCTGCACGAGATTTGATAGGTCTCTTATCTTGGCTTGGGAAAACTTGATACACTCTACTAAATACTAAGGAATATACGATCAAATTTGGTATTATGAAGAATTACTTGGTGTCATTGGCATCAGCCCTCACGTTTCCGTTTCAATTACTGTCCTTGTTGAGCGTCCGTTTGTTCTGCCTCAAGCAAGATTATCTGAACAGCTAGTCATTACATAAATTCTTCTATATACTAAATATATTCCAATGGCATCAAGTCTATTTTGTGAACATGATATTTTCCTTATCGCAGTATCGGTACACTCCTGTGGAAGAGTAGTGATTGTTTAGAGCCATACACAGTTGTATTTTCATTTGCCTATGTCTCCCAGATATTCTTGCATGCAATTGTTCTGTTTTGTATATTTTCTCAATTTCAACCTAAGCTGATGTTTATCGCAAGATCGGAAATAATGTGATACTTTGTTTGTTTTTCTGTGGCTATCACACAAGACCTGTACCCTGTTTTGTTACTAGATGTTGGCATTTGTCTTTTCTTCAGATCTCTTCCCGTTTCTCAGTAAGAGATTAGCACAGACAGCTTCCGATATTGGTAAGTTGCTCTCAAGTTATGACGTCACTTAGTCACCATGTATCAGTTGAATGATGAAACATGATAAGCTACATGGACTTTGGTTGTTGTTTAACGTTGCTCTCAGCAATATTCCAGCTATATGACGGCAGTCTGTAAATAATCGAGTCCAGTGATTTACATCATGAGCATCGATCCACACAATGGAGATCGATGACATTCATCAACCAACTCAGCGAACCTGACCACCTGATCCCGTTAGTCACCTCTTACAACAAGCATAGTCGCCTTTTATGGCAAGGATGGGTTGCTGAAGACCTATTCTACCCCACATCTTCACGGGTCAATTGACACAAGTATTTATTAACCTCCGATGTTACCGAACTCAAATGATTACAGTTGTCATTATTCTGAGATGAAAGAACACTGTCAGGTATCATTCTTTGCTCAGTCCATCCGGGGGCGGTCGGGTAGCCTGGTGGTTAATGCGTTCGCTCGTCACGCTGAAGACCTGGGTTCGATACCTGACATGGGTACAATGTGTGAAGCCCATTTCTGGTGTCCCCTGCCGTGATATTGCTGGAATATTGCTAAAAGCGGCGTTAAACCATACTCACTCACTCACTCAGTCCATCCGGCATATCACAGGATGTACCATGTCGAGTGTGACAGCAAACAGTATCAATTTCAATTATGACAAACGTGTATCCCCCATTACATCGGTCTGATGACCTATGCAGCCATTATAGACGGGATGACACCTCGGGTAGCGCATGGATGATAAGCACAAATTGTGTATGACCACAGATGATATCAGTGATTATTGATTGTCAGAAACTGTGAAAACACTGGAAGCTACGGTTTCATTGATTCGCAGGAAAATACCGAAACAGCAAAGGTTGCTATGTATGTACCGGTTGTTGTGGCGGGTATCTGTCCATCGCGGACAGGAATATTGGAGAACACATGGTTCCTCAGTGTAGGACTCCGAAACAGTTATTGACGTTCAGTTTTACTTTTCATTCATTACCTTTTTAGTGTCATATCAACTGAAACTCGATTAAAAAGGCTTTTGAAGAGAGGAATCAAGAATTTAAGGGGTACATAAATGTCCTTAAGGACTGGCTCGTCAAGTCTTACCCAAATTTTGACTTCCCTTCAAATTCCTTCTGTGTATACAATTACCTAGTCAATACCAGAGCTCCAGAGCAATTGAATTTTCACTCGAAGGTTGCTATGTTAATTGAGTTTTTACATTTTTCATTGGGCGACTATCTATATCACTCTATTGGGTTTTTCCCAAAATGAGTACACAAGATTTACAAAAAATGAAATAATTTTTTAGATGTATATAACAGTTCTAAATATATAGTATTGATTTGGAAAGTAAATTAGCTCGTAATTGTGTTTCGGAAATTAACTCCTTTGTACGCATGCTGAAAAAGCTTCATGGGGTATTTACATGTGCTGTTTTTATATTTCATTTCATATAATGCATGTGTTTCTGTACACAGGTTAATTGAAAGTAATTGGGTTTTGTATATATTTCGTGTGTGTGTGTGTGTGTGCGTGTGCGTGTGTGTGTGTGTGTGTGTGTGTGTGTGTATTTTACACAAATAAGCTGCTGATCTATAGCCTTGTTGATTGTGTGAGCAATCATCCACGCAACTCCATTCTGTGGGATGTGATGACTATTCTCCTTGATATTCCACTGCGAGGTTGGGTAGGGAGTCACGTAGACCATGTCCCTACAGAGGGACAATCCATCGCTAACTGGGTGGTTGGGTAGGGAGCCACGTAGACCATGTCCCTACAGAGGGACAATCCATCGCTAACTGGGTGGTTGGGTAGGGAGTCACGTAGACCATGTCCCTACAGAGGGACAATCCATCGCTAACTGGGTGGTTGGGTAGGGAGCCACGTAGACCATGTCCCTACAGAGGGACAATCCATCGCTAACTGGGTGGTTGGGTAGGGAGTCACGTAGACCATGTCCCTACAGAGGGACAATCCATCGCTAACTGGGTGGTTGGGTAGGGAGCCACGTAGACCATGTCCCTACAGAGGGACAATCCATCGCTAACTGGGTGGTTGGGTAGGGAGCCACGTAGACCATGTCCCTACAGAGGGACAATCCATCGCTAACTGGGTGGTTGGGTAGGGAGCCACGTAGACCATGTCCCTACAGAGGGACAATCCATCGCTAACTGGGTGGCTGGGTAGGGAGTCATGTAGATTCGGTTCGCCTCCACACATGGGTATCAGCCCTCTTATCAGACAGACCTATGATATTGTGGGAATATTGCTAAAATTGGCGTAATAACATAGTTGCTTCTCACACAGTGTGGCCATCTGACCCCAAACATCTGCAGTCTGCATGGCCAACTGGGAACTTGTGGTGTCTCAAAGAGTAAATATGAAATGGAAATGGTTCCAGCTGAAAATGTTTTTAGGTGTCCAGCGAAGCGTAATCATTGCGAAGATCCCATCCAGGAGACAGCATTTCATGCACAAATCAATACATTTCTCAGAAAACACCAATAGCTTCTGGATTAGCTAAATGGGTAAATGTAACGCTTGTACAAAACTGCTGGTGTGCTGAATATTTCTTGAAGTTATTAATAATCAATGTAGGTGTTTAGTGAGAACTTTAGAGGTTAATGGCTGCTGCTGTCCTGTCATCTAGTCAGTATTTTGAGGACAAACTGGTGGAAAAGGAATAGATGCTTCTTACAATGTGGCTTTTTGAACACATTTTATTTGCATATTTCATTGATGTATATGATTATGTTTTTTGAAGACAAACTGGTGGAAAAGGAATAGATGCTTCTTACAATGTGGCTTTTCTAACATGATTTTCTTAGCATATTTCATTGATGGATATGATTATGTTTTTTGAAGACAAACTGGTGGAAAGTCTTACAAAGTGGCTTTTTGAACACGATTTTCTTAGCATATTTCATTGATAGATATGATTGTGTCATGTTTTGTTATTTTTCCTGCATGAATGCTTTTTTGAAATGGCAGAAATACTCATTATCAAATAGTGTTGTAAATGACTTAGAGTCAAGGTGAGCATCTTGACTTCATGAGCACTCTGCGTGTCTGAGATTCATAATAGATGTGAGATCAATAAAACTGTAAACTCAAAGAAACCTCTGAAGTGTCCATCCTCATCAAAGCGCAAAAAACTGTTAGAGCCTTGTGCTGTTTCTATGTCGGTGAGGCGGCCATCGTGTCTGCAGCCTACACCATCAATATGTGACAAAGGTTTATGAGGTTCCCTGGTAGGCTGGGAGTCTGTATATAGGAGTATTTGTTGTAGTGACACCCTTAGTGATTAAAACATTTAATGAACTGATCGAACATGCTATCGCCATATGCTATATGGGTCAAACTGGATATACTCTTGTGGATGGTGCAAAAATCAATGTCACAAGTAGGTGTCAGGTGCACAAGCTGCATATTTATATTTCATAAGTCTGAAGAGAGGATATTAATTTAGAAATAAAAAGATTATTTGTTTAGAAATCAAAATGGTTATTTGTACAGTGCAATTGATACCTCATTTTTTTAATTGCTTTTTGTTTGAGTTATATTACATGTTAATATCTACAAAAATAGCTCTTGGCTAAATATGCATCACAACCAGAGCATGTGAAACAAGATGGATCAACTCAAATTTTGAATTAATAGCCTGAATCAATTTGAGGAACAAATAATCAATTGTTATGACCCTAAGGGTCGGAATTGTTCACCAAGCAGTTTGGGTTTGTTGTCGTCGCATCACATAGTAACTGTGTGATGATGTTGACTTGAACAAAGAGTGATAGTTTGTATGTGGTTAGTTACTATGCAATAGTATACACATACCATAACTCATCTCGTAAAATTAACAGGGAATGGGTTTTTTTTCACTTGATCATATAGATAAAAGATAATATAAAATAGGAAATATACAAAAATAGATTTGACATTTATTTAAGCATGACAAGGAGTATGGATAACAACTTTTTTTAATTATAGATACCCAGGTCTTTAAGGATAGAATTAATTCTATAACTATACAGATTTACGTTTGGTAAATGAATCAAGGATACTGATGCTAATTAACAGATGATACACATTCAGTGTATGAAATAACTGCCTGCCCGCATGACTGTGACTTTTCTGTGGGGCTGCGTGAAATTTTCCTCCACTTGCCCTACTGTTGGGGCAGATACTTTTAAGACTACTATTTCAAATTTATCATAAGTCCTTGGTGGATTTTCAAAGTAATTGTTTGCATTATTTCGACTGAATCAAAATACGATTTGTCTCTTTTCCCCAATTTTCAATATTTATAATGTCTGAATGTAACTAGGGGGCACGGGTGGCCCAGTCGTCTAAGGCGCCGCGATTCGCTGTGCAGAGTTGCATCCCTTGGGCACGCCAGAAACCTATGATTGTGGGTTCAAATCCCGGTTCGCCCCAATTATGCTTCTAGGTTTGTCAGCACCATTCCCGTGCTCATGGGTTTCACCGAAGTGGTAAACGTCCAAGACCTGCATCACTTTGGGCTTTCCTCCACATTAAGCTGACACACTGTAATATAACTGGAATATTGTTAAAACCCAACTCACTCACTCACTCTGAATGTAACTTAGAAGATGGGCAGGCAACATTTATGGGTCACCTGCCCAACTGTCTTGTGCGGTTTTAAAGTGTTTTCAAACACTGTACACTCCTGTTGTGAGGGCTGTTATACAGATGGTCGAGTACATGGATGCTGTTAGAGTTGTCCTGACTCTATGCGAAGGTGGGGATTGTACATGCAACTAGCCTACACTGGGACTGCCCCATTGATTACTATTGGAAGATGTCTTAATGCTTGGGTGGGGATGGGGCTCCTGATGACTTAAAACATAATATCCTTATCTCTTTAATTAGGGACAAATCCCAGCCTTAATGAATAGACACTAGTCTCTTGCTAACATGTAGACGTGACCTGTAAGGTCGTGATACAGGGTGTCGATAAGTCCTAGGTTTGTACAGTTAAAGACATGAAAGGATTCCATGTGAGTCAGTCATCTAGCTATGCGATGGTGTAATGAAGGATTTAAGGCTGATAGCTGGTAAGGTAGAAACGATACTACAGTGCACCGGTGCACTGTGATACATACGATACGATATGATACATGGTATGTCTATATTTCTGTATCGACGATACACTTGCTAAAATAAATTACTTACTATTCGTTTAATGACCTCAGCGTTTTTGTCAGTCAAATATCACATGTGTTTTAATTAGCGTATTAGTTCACTACTAAAAATAGCCGCAAAGAAAGAACATGTGTCTTCAGCTAGCTTTTCCTTTTCAACCTGCTCTGAAATATACATACATGTAGTAAGAAGTTTTCATATTTGCACTACTTTCTGTATCCTTTCACCCCTTATAGATAGTTGGGGGATCTTGGCCAGTCAGCTGTTTTGTAACAAATATAAAAAAGAACTGGTGTTTTTCAGGGTCCAACATGTAGAGTTTCTGTTTGATGTTTTATCTTAGTGTATTGTGTTGTCTGATGGATGTATGGCAAAAGTGATCTATAAGCACTTCAGAATTAATGCAAATATTTTTGATCAGGGCAAATATATAATTCTCTGTACTACCCCACTATTTCTAGATATTTTTTGTCATTAAACAATATATCACATGACTAACCACGGGTCCAGGTACCCCGTGGCAACCCTACTCAGTACCCACCCGACCCAGGTACCTGAGTTACCCGTCCCAGCCCTAGTAGGAAATCACAAATACAGCTTCACTTGGTGGACAGACCAAATTGCTACTTATTTTCAGCATTCCAGCTCATTACCCTACAATAATGTGACAGTCTTTCTAATCACACTTAGTGCTTGTTATTGTCTCTCACTGAAAGATGAGAGGGCATGGTAAAACATCTCTCTTTTCCTCTTCTCCTCTCTCTCCCCCCCCCCCCCCCCCCCATCTGTGTTTATAATTACTGCAAATGTCACTACTTGCGTTTCCATGGGACATATCAAACTTGTATACCTGTAACTATGGTTACTGAATAATCCACATCATCAGACGAAACTGATGCGATCTGTGATAGAGATTCATGCAAGAAGCCTGCTTAATGTCATCCCCTAGATAAACATGTGATGAGGCAGCTTGCATCTCCTCTTTGTTTGGTTAGGTCTCTACACACTGATAAGATAATACTATTGATGTATTAAAATACTCATTAATCTCTTGTGGTAAATTCAATGCTGAAACCATTCTGCTTAACTAGAAGCAAACTCAGCATGCCGTCAAGTGCTTGTTGACTGTCGCCACGACGACAAAGGCAATGGCTCATAACAAGTCAGCTGTGGCCCATCCATGTTGTTTTATGTCATATGGAACATTTCCTGCTGTGTTGCTGAGACTGTTACCGTGGCGATTGTCAGTACATACACTTTGACATCTGCTGTGCATGTAGTGAATTAGGACAATTGTGCCCAAATGGCCATCATCGTAATATGGCAGCTTGTGGCTGGGCAATAAGTAATGAACATTATGCCACAGTACATATCAACATTTTAAGGCACTACAGTCAACTACAAGGAATTTTTTTAATCTAGATAGTAATACCTTTTTTCCCTGGTGAAAGAGGTTTCTGTTTTGCATTTTAGACTTGGAAGGAAAGACACACACGTCTTAGTGTTCATAGATCAGGAAATAAATGTAATCAGACAGCGACAATGAGTTAGTGAATGAGTTTTATTGAAATACTCCATACTCAATATTTGTTGATTATCAGATTTGGTCAGAAGTATCGTATGAACCAGTGATGGTTTGACTCTGATGGACCCTATTCATCCTACCTGCATATGTTCCTACTTACTACAGATAAATAACTTTTGTAACTGTGATATTTTTGTTTCCAGATAGCGAAATTACAGATGTAGCCTACACCTTGGTGTCCTTGAAAGGCTTCAGCAGCAAGAGTGAGTTATCTCCCTTGATTGGCATAAAATATATTTCAGTGGAATTTGTCAAATCATATTTTGTATCAAATTATAATGGTTCTTCTTGATCATAAAGTAAAGGCTTCTTAACTTCTAGTAATTAAAGACGATTATCTGGTAAACATGTGTTGTTCTTCTCGTCCTGGAATCACCAATCGTCATGTCTTGTTTCAGATTCATCTGGGATGTCGTCGGACGGCTCCGAGGGCTCCCGGGATCCCAGGTTTCGATACAAGAGAAAGTTCAGGTAATGCTCCTCATCCAGTGATGCAGTGATGCCTTTAGCTGAGAAAAACACCTACAAATACTTGTAGCTATGCCTATGGCAGATAAAACTGTATACAATACTTGTTTTTCATGGTGATAGGTGGTTCTGACGTAAATAAACTGAAATTAACTATACAATGTATTTCTCTAGGCCATCTTTGAATACATTTAAAAATAGTGATAATTATCATCAATTATCAGGCTTGTGTGGATTAAATTTTTTTCATTTCCAATTTTTCGAATAACTTGAGTCAAGATATTTTGAAAAATTCCATCACCATTCTTTTTTGTCACAGGGATCATGGCTATATACGTCGCCGGCCATCTGGGCCAATCATCTGCACCAACAGTCCTAGTGAGGATCACACCTATAGTGCAACAACGGTCGCTCCTGACGAGGACGACTACATGCCGTCATCACCCGTATCATCCATTGATGATGAGTATGACTTCGGTCCTGATGACGACGTAGAGAGTGACTCTCCTAGTTACCATAGCGACTATGACTATGGAAGTGACATGGATGAGGTTGATGGGGAAACATCGACGCAACAACGGAAACGATTCCGAGACTGTAAAACAACGGAGGAGGAAGAACAGAAGAAGATAGTAGAAGGAGCAGACGCTCTCTTGAACTTGGCGGGAATTATGACCCACTCTCCCAGGCGGTCCCCTCGGGCTGTGTTGAGCAAGACAGACTTTAAAGCCAGATCGTCCTCCTCCTAATGGAGGATGACTTATTCAGGTTTTAGCACAGTCTTATTTCTTTTGATACCAGAAGAGATTTAACATTACATGGAGAATTCTATCATGGCTTGGGAAGGATGGACGGACGGACGAACACCCATGGGTGTCTTGATGTGAGAAGTCATGTGTATTTTGTGGGCAACAGTTGAGATTCTAAATCCCATGGGATGCAACCAAGAGCAGTATAAAAGACTCAAAGCAGTTACTCGGTGACTCGAAGAAGCTGAGTGACTGGATGGGGAATTGCTGAACATTTAAGGGGGGAGTTTTCTGTATTTACAGTGTTGCAAATGAGTCTTACCAATTGTTTTAAATGATTTTGTTTTCTTAAAGGTGCTCGAAATATGTTGGTTAAGGTGCATTAGCTAGGAGAGGTGCAATTTATTTGCTCTGGTTTATCCCAAGGTTTATGTTTTGTTTGGAGTTAGAGATTTTGTTGATAATTGAAAATGTTTTTGTTTTTGTGACTCTTTATAGTTGGAAAATATTTTATTTTCACAGCAATTTTCATCATGTTTCCATGCAAGTAGCATTAGTCAGTACTTTTTATGATGTTTCCAATCATGGCAGCAGAGATGGCGGAACTGAATTATAAAACCTATAAATTTACTCACGCTCAGGGGTACCCTGACTGAAGGTCATGACCTTTTCAAAATAACATATGCGAACTTGATGACCTTGCGGGATGTGGATACAAGCCACCCAGGATGCACTTGTACAGTTTTATACAACTTTGTAGATATTTGTTAAAGTGTTAATACTCCATTGTTCATTAACTCATTAGTAGATAGTCAATCTCATTAAAATCAGATCTTAGTTCTCCCTACCGCTAAGCAAAGATCTGAGGATATCCCGTCATGTCAGAATAACCTTTCTCAAACTTTGACTGACCAATGGAATGACTGACAAGAAGTCAACATTAGCCAATCAGAATGCAGCTTTCTCATACTTTACTGCACTAGTTTCAAACTGGCAACTACTCTTGGAAACATTTTGACAAAAGTGGATTAAAAATTTGAAAACAGAACAAAAGAATATTCTGGAATGGCTAATAGATGGTCCAGATTGTCTGTATTCAGTCATAACGCCAGCAACTGAATACCCCCATTTTAAATTTATCGAGGGTGCAAGATAAGAAAAAACATTCCGACTGTCACGTTCAGGATCTCGTAAGCGACATCCTGATTGGTTGGATGAAAGGTCATTCTGACGTGACGTAATTGGATGTACTCAGATCTTTGTTTAGCAGTAGCGAGAACTAAGATGTGATTATGATGAGGTTGGTAGATAGTTAAACCATCTCTCCTGTTGCTTGTTATTTAGTCTTGTAAAATGCACGGGAAAGCTGCTGGAGAGGGTGTGTATTGGTGCAAGGATGCTCAGTGTCATAGGGGGGTGGGGTTATTACATAGTATGTATACATAGTATATACACCAGATAGTACCAGTTGTGTAACATATTATCCTTATACCTTGTTGGTAATGGTCATAGCAACCTGGCTGACATTTGTTATTTCCTTATGGTATTGGTTTCGACACTGTAGGTGCTATAGATGGTACTGATGTTCCACTCAGTGCTGGGTGGAGGAAATACTGAAGTTGTGAATATACATGGTCAGGGCACCTTGGTGACTTAGACTGACCCTAAACGGGAATTGCTCTGCATCTCCATGGAAATATGGGCACTTGTATATGGTAGGGAGGAAAGCTGGGATTGCCACAACGAGTCATGTGTCTTTTAAGGATATGTTTTCTTAAAATTTCATTTAACAGTGCTACTAACATGCCTAATTCTAAACTTAGTATTTTGTATTTTAGATAGATTCAGAGATGGTTTTGGGGATACCAATGTGGTATTTTCAGTAAACTGAGAAGATACACATCGCCACCATAGCTGACATCACTGCATGCTCAAGCTAATATTTGCTGTATATCTGCATATATATTTTATGTTTGTTATGATTTTGTTTTATGCACTTGACCAACTTGCTTCCAGATAGCACGCATTGAATGCATCACATGTTTCAGCTGGTCATGTCAGTGTTGTCTTTGACAAAACTAGTTAGTAGAACAAGATCGGTCTACATTCAATAAATGTATTTTGTACTTGATAATTCGATCTAAAAATTTGACCCAACAAAGATTAATTAGAGATATGAATTTATCAGGCCAAACGTCTTTACATGGGGCAACAGGTTTCATTTGCATCTAATAATACTGTTCTTTTTTAATACATCCACTAAACAGCTTCTGCGGTATATATTTTAATGTGAACATATTTAGAATAGGGATGGCCCTTCTTGTCAAGGAGAGACCAGTTGACCCAGTGGCTCCAACTCGAAAAGCAGAGTTACCTCTCTTAGCTACCAGGATTAGCTTGTGGGTTTTCTCCCCATAATGACCCTATGTCTGTCAGTGTTGTGGTTGATATCTGCGCTCTGAAATCCTACACACAGCGATATGACTGAAATACTGTTGAAAGCGGTATTTCATCGAACTCATTCACTCCTTGTCAAAGACATTCACTGTCGAGTCCACCTCGGAACATGGAAGTCTGCAGCTGCTGTGATGTTTAATGTGCCAACAGCTAATTAATCGTGTGTCAAGTCGGTAATTATGCCTTAATCAACGAGATCTTCTTCCAGTGAACATTGTATGATGTCTGTCCCTTTATATCAAAGGCATCCATGTCTTCCATTTGTAGCATTGTAACCTGTCAACTTAATGGAATATGTAGCTCTTTAGGCAATTTACAGACACGATTCAATTCAGTTATACTTTATATGTATTTTCTTCATCTATTTTCCTATATGGACCTTTATAGTCTTAAAATTAGTCAAGGGATAGTTTTATTCAAATCTATGTTATAAGTTATGTGTTACATGTGTAAATTAAGGGAAACGTGTTTATGAAGTTTGACGATTATTTTACATTTGTTACACGGAAAAAGTAAGTTGATGAAAAATGAATGTATTTTAGATACATGATGCATGTTTTTAACGTTTTAGTGTCTTAGCTGTTTTATGGTTATTGGAATAGACTTGTTTTTGAGATTAACAATGTTAAGCTCAATTATTGTTTTCTCAGCATTGTTAGACCGTTGCTATGCGAGTATGGCATATTTGCATTCACAAAACCAAGTTACTCTCTTTGTGCAATAAGCTTACTTCTAGGAATCAATCTAATGCTTTGTAAAAGCACAAATTTGTTTGGCAAAGTCAAAAGATCGTGGAAAGACATTTCTGCGTCATGGCTCATAACAAATCTATGCAAAAAAATGACAGGGAACAAGAGATATTTTCCTGTCCTTAATATAATACTCTTAATGAAAATTAGTGTTTTCTCAGTAAGTTTACACAAGTGATTTCACATTAAGCTGCCTGTATGGTCAGGTTTAAGAAATTGTCTTTGTGTAGAGTAAGGGAGATAACTCTTCCCAGTTATGATGACCTTGCTTCCTGCTGACAACTTAGGATGTACTTGTTTGTGTAAATGACAAGAATTGACACCAGTTCTTGGACAAATTCAGGGTATTTGTCAATGCATAGATCTACAGTGTTTTGTCATCTAGAAATTTGTTTAAATTTGGAAAATTATTTTGTTTATTCAAAGATCTCATACCCATGTAGCTCAAATTGTTGACATTTCTATTGGTGTTTAGTGCAAGTGAGTGGAAACATGGAACGCTGTGTAATTTGTCTACTCTGTGGGGAATAGTTGGAGAAAACACTAGATGAAATACATGGAGTAGAGAGGTTTGAGACACATTATTGCCACTGTTACAGTCAGAGTGGGGAAACAAGCTCAACAGGTCTCCGTCGTTTTGTGCAATATTTCTCATCACCATATTAGAGTTATTGTTTACCGTTTATTATTCTCCGGTATTGAAATCACAACATCTGTTCTGCGTGCTCATTAACATCTGTTCATGAATTCTAGTGAGTGACTGCAGCTAACCTTGTTCAGTTTATTTCCCTACTCCGACATTGAATGATATTATATCACTGCCTCCGATGAGTACTATACAAAAAGTGTTCAGTGGAAGAGCTGTTTTGCGCTTTCTTTTCTAAGAATTTCTACAGCAACGGTTGTCTTAAACCAGTTCGACAAAAAACGGCTCGCTCCAGATATTACGCCAAAGTTTGACAAAATGAGGAGTGCAATAACTCGAAATCATGTCCATACTGCCTGTACATTTTAGTTTCCATGGTAACATGTTCATAAAACATGCCATTGAAACTTGCATAAGGCTTCCATTTTTCACATTTATTACTTAAATCATGACATTGTTGTAAACTCCAAATTTTGTTAAATCATTACAGGTTATTCCTAGCAATGACTTCATCTGCATTACCATTTAACCTGGTATACTACTCAACATGTGTTAGGGACCACACCTTAAGATGACTATGTTGATCCTTAGCAAATGTTGAACAGTATACATGTTAAACATAGATCAAGATCATGGATATTTCAGAAATGTACCATGTTGAGTTTATGAATATTTTGTGGCCAATGACAATGTTTTGAAATTTATGAATATTTCTTATTGTGATGATGGTATACCGATGACATCATTGCTAATCAAGTTCTCAGTAGCCAGTGCAATATGTCTGTCAGGCCAGTCAACTCGCTGTCTGTCTGTCCGTCAGCCAGCCGAGTTACTGGCAATGCCAGTATGTCGTGGCTATGTACATTTGTACATATTCTACACAGACCAAATAAAGGATCAGATTTTCAAACTATTATTCAGTTATGTTGTTAGTTTGTGAGTGCATGCTGTTTTATGCCACAGCTATACCAGTCTGGACCAAGCTGTGATCAATAGCACGAGAAGAAGCTCATTCTAATCAGATCGCTACTGATACACGAAGACCTGAGGACATGTCATGATTTGAAGTATACAAGTGATTTCCTTAACATGAAAGGAATGTTGATAGGTACAAAAACAATCAATATCTTGGTTATGTTGAACATTATACACATTTAGTGAAGAGAAGACTATCACAGTCTTGTGCAAATAATAATGTGATTCAGTCAGACATACAGATCAAAGTCAGCCATGACAGCACCAAACCAATACAAGAGAGTTTGATTTCACGGATAAGTTTATATATTTCTGTCACTTTGTCCATTCATGTCATTCCAGTCTCGTGGTAGCATCACAATACTACAATCAAGGACCTCAATCCAATGACATCATAATAAGATCACTGCCATAACATCACAAGCTCCTCACAGTGATAGCATGTTTGCAGAGCTCTCTATACTATCGCTGCGGCCAGTTAAAACTCCCCACTGTGATAGGTGGCTACAACCATGCGTAATGTTTGCAAACAAGTGATGACTGTCGCGACGCCAAATACTCTTACCCCAGCTAAATTATTTTATTTGTAAATTTTAATTTCTATTTCATTTCAACTATCATGGTATAACTGGTCTAGTAAAAATGAAAGGGGAAGTTGGGTTGATATATGGTCGTCTGCAATCTTGAACAAATCTGATCAAACAAACAAAAGTAAAATTCATCTGGGAAGTATGGTCAGTCGTAAATCTTTCAAAATGAACTATGATGACATAAACAAAAGTATAAACTTTGGGGGTCAGAGGGCAAATTTCAAGATCCTTGTAATGGCCGCTCCCACACTGTAATGAAGGTGTCACAAGCTGGGAAGGAGCTCGATAAGTTCATTGCAATGACATGACAATAAACTCATTGCAATGACATCACAAAAGTGAAACACAATGTGAAGGCTAAGTTAAAGGGCCTCCACCATTGTCGCTTAACAGGATGCTAATACAGTTTTGTTCAGGATGTGAGCTTCTATCATTGTGTCCCAAGCTGGAGGTGATGCTAAATCAGTCTGTTTTGTTCAAGTGTTGAACAAAGTCGCAAATAAGGTTGCAGCCTCCACCATTGTGTCACTTGCTTGAGGTGATGATAAATCTGTCTGTTTTGTTCAAGTGTTGAACAAAGTCGCAAATAAGGTTGCAGCCTCCACCATTGTGTCACTTGCTTGAGGTGATGATAAATCTGTCTGTTTTGTGCAAGTGTTGAACCATTGTGTCACTTGCTTGAGGTGAAGATCAATCTGTCTGTTTTGTGCAAGTGTTGAACCATTGTGTCACTTGCTTGAGGTGAAGATCAATCTGTCTGTTTTGTGTAAGTGTTGAACAATGTCACACAGGGTGCTGTACATGGTTGCTGGTGACAGCTCTGTTTCTCTTGCTGGACCAGGAGAGTGGCTTCAGCAGCATACATACAGTAGACAGTCCTCTGTGGGTAGAGCTGACACTGGCACAAGTGAAAACACAGGAGGCGGGGCACACCCACCATGCAGGGCCTCCATTAACACTGAAACACAAACAGAATCAGAATACAATTTCTCTTGACTATACATGGTCTCGAATACCTCCTGGTGGTTACAAGCTTTGAAAATACTTAAGAATTTAAAATAATACTACAACATTTTTGCGTTAATGGAGGTATAAATGTGAAAAACATTTTTGTGCATACTGCGTAAATCTTTATAGAACAAACTCATGACTGGCCCACACTCACCTAGCATGGCAAGGGAACACATTCACCACTGGCCCACACTCACCTAGCATGGCAAGGGAACACACTCATCACTGGCCCACACTAGCATGGCATGGCAAGGGAACACACTCATCACTGGCCCACACTCACCTAGCATGGCAAGGGAACACACTCATCACTGGCCCACACTAGCATGGCAAGGGAACACACTGACCACTGGCCCACACTAGCATGGCATGGCAAGGGAACACACTCATCACTGGCCCACACTAGCATGGCATGGCAAGGGAACACATTCATCACTGGCCCACACTAGCATGGCATGGCAAGGGAACACACTCATCACTGGCCCACACTAGCATGGCATGGCAAGGGAACACACTCATCACTGGCCCACACTAGCATGGCATGGCAAGGGAACACACTCATCACTGGCCCACACTAGCATGGCATGGCAAGGGAACACATTCATCACTGGCCCACACTAGCATGGCCTGGTAAGGGCACACATTCATCACTGGCCCACACTAGCATGGCCTGGCAAGGGAACACACTCATCACTGGCCCACACTAGCATGGCATGGTAAGGGAACACATTCATCACTGGCCCACACTAGCATGGCAAGGGAACACACTCATCACTGGCCCACACTAGCCTGGCATGGCAAGGGAACACACTCATCACTGGCCCACACTCACCTAGCAGGGCAAGGGAACACACTCATCACTGGCCCACACTAGCATGGCAAGGGAACACACTGACCACTGGCCCACACTAGCATGGCATAGCAAGGGTACACACTCATCACTGGCCCACACTAGCATGGCATGGCAAGGGAACACACTCATCACTGGCCCACACTAGCATGGCATGGCAAGGGAACACACTCATCACTGGCCCACACTAGCATGGCATGGTAAGGGCACACATTCATCACTGGCCCACACTAGCATGGCCTGGCAAGGGAACACACTCATCGCTGGCCCACACTAGCATGGCATGGTTAGGGAACACATTCATCACTGGCCCACACTAGCATGGCAAGGGAACACACTCATCACTGGCCAACACTAGCATGGCATGGTAAGGGAACACACTCACCACTGGCCCACACTAGCCTGGCATGGTAAGGGAACACACTCATCACTGGCCCACACTAGCATGGCATGGTAAGGGAACACATTCATCACTGGCCCACACTAGCATGGTAAGGGAACACACTCATCACTGGCCAACACTAGCATGGCATGGTAAGGGAACACACTCACCACTGGCCCACACTAGCCTGGCATGGTAAGGGAACACATTCATCACTGGCCCACACTAGCATGGCATGGCAAGGGAACACACTCATCACTGGCCCACACTAGCATGGCATGGTGAGGGAACACATTCATCACTGGCCCACACTAGCATGGCATGGTAAGGGAACACACTCATCACTGGCCCACACTAGCATGGCATGGCAAGGGAACACATTCATCACTGGCCCACACTAGCATGGAATGGCAAGGGAACACATTCATCACTGGCCCACACTAGCATCGCATGGCAAGGGAACACACTCATCACTGGCCCACACTAGCATGGCATGGCAAGGGAACACATTCATCACTGGCCCACACTAGCATGGCAAGGGAACACACTCATCACCGGCCCACACTAGCCTGGCATGGCAAGGGAACACACTCATCACTGGCCCACACTCAGCTAGCATGGCAAGGGAACACACTCATCACTGGCCCACACTAGCATGGCAAGGGAACACACTGACCACTGGCCCACACTAGCATGGCATGGCAAGGGAACACACTCATCACTGGCCCACACTAGCATGGCATGGCAAGGGAACACACTCATCACTGGTCCACACTAGCATGGCATGGCAAGGGAACACATTCATCACTGGCCCACACTAGCATGGCATGGTAAGGGAACACATTCATCACTGGCCCACACTAGCATGGCCTGGCAAGGGAACACACTCATCACTGGCCCACACTAGCATGGCATGGTAAGGGAACACATTCATCACTGGCCCACACTAGCATGGCAAGGGATCACACTCATCACTGGCCCACACTAGCATGGCATGGTAAGGGAACACACTCACCACTGGCCCACACTAGCCTGGCATGGTAAGGGAACACACTCATCACTGGCCCACACTAGCATAGCATGGTAAGGGAACACATTCATCACTGGCCCACACTAGCATGGCAAGGGAACACACTCATCACTGGCCCACACTAGCATGGCAAGGGAACACACTCATCACTGGCCCACACTAGCATGGCATGGCAAGGGAACACACTCATCACTGGCCCACACTAGCATGGCATGGTAAGGGAACACACTCATCACTGGCCCACACTAGCATGGCATGGTAAGGGAACACACTCATCACTGGCCCACACTAGCATGGCATGGTAAGGGAACACATTCATCACTGGCCCACACTAGCATGGCATGGCAAGGGAACACATTCATCACTGGCCCACACTAGCATGGCAAGGGCACACACTCATCACTGGCCCACACTAGCCTGGCATGGCAAGGGAACACACTCATCACTGGCCCACACTCAGCTAGCATGGCAAGGGAACACACTCATCACTGGCCCACACTAGCATGGCAAGGGAACACACTGACCACTGGCCCACACTAGCATGGCATGGCAAGGGAACACACTCATCACTGGCCCACACTAGCATGGCATGGCAAGGGAACACACTCATCACTGGTCCACACTAGCATGGCATGGCAAGGGAACACACTCATCACTGGCCCACACTAGCATGGCATGGTAAGGGAACACATTCATCACTGGCCCACACTAGCATGGCCTGGCAAGGGAACACACTCATCACTGGCCCAAACTAGCATGGCATGGTAAGGGAACACATTCATCACTGGCCCACACTAGCATGGCAAGGGATCACACTCATCACTGGCCCACACTAGCATGGCATGGTAAGGGAACACACTCACCACTGGCCCACACTAGCCTGGCATGGTAAGGGAACACATTCATCACTGGCCCACACTAGCATGGCATGGCAAGGGAACACACTCATCACTGGCCCACACTAGCATGGCATGGTAAGGGAACACATTCATCACTGGTCCACACTAGCATGGCATGGCAAGGGAACACACTCATCACTGGCCCACACTAGCATGGCATGGTGAGGGAACACATTCATCACTGGCCCACACTAGCATGGCTTTGTAAGGGAACACACTCATCACTGGCCCACACTAGCATGGCATGGCAAGGGAACACATTCATCACTGGCCCACACTAGCATGGCATGGCAAGGGAACACACTCATCACTGGCCCACACTAGCATGGCATGGCAAGGGAACACACTCATCACTGGCCCACACTAGCATGGCATGGTAAGGGAACACATTCATCACTGGCCCACACTAGCATGGCATGGCAAGGGAACACACTCATCACTGGCCCACACTAGCATGGCATGGCAAGGGAACACACTCATCACTGGCCCACACTAGCATGGCATGGCAAGGGAACACACTCATCACTGGCCCACACTAGCATGGCAAGGGAACACACTCATCACTGGCCCACACTAGCATGGCATGGTAAGGGAACACACTCATCACTGGCCCACACTAGCATGGCATGGTAAGGGAACACATTCATCACTGGCCCACACTAGCATGGCATGGCAAGGGAACACATTCATCCCTGGCCCACACTCACCTAGCATGGCAAGGGAACACACTCATCACTGGCCCACACTAGCATGGCAAGGGAACACACTGACCACTGGCCCACACTAGCATGGCATGGCAAGGGAATACACTCATCACTGGCCCACACTAGCATGGCATGGCAAGGGAACACACTCATCACTTGCCCACACTAGCATGGCAAGGCAAGGGAACACACTCATCACTGGCCCACACTAGCATGGCAAGGGAACACACTCATCACTGGCCCACACTAGCATGGCATGGCAAGGGAACACACTGACCACTGGTCCACACTAGCATGGCCTGGCAAGGGAACACACTCATCACTGGCCCACACTAGCATGGCATGGCAAGGGAACACACTCATCATTGGCCCACACTAGCATGGCATGGCAAGGGAACACACTCATCACTGGCCCATACTAGCATGGCATGGTAAGGGAACACATTCATCACTGGCCCACACTAGCCTGGCATGGTAAGGGAACACACTCATCACTGGCCCACACTAGCATGGCAAGGCAAGGGAACACACTCATCACTGGCCCACACTAGCATGGCAAGGGAACACACTCATCATTGGCCCACACTAGCATGGCATGGCAAGGGAACACACTCATCACTGGCCCATACTAGCATGGCCTGGCAAGGGAACACATTCATCACTGGCCCACACTAGCATGGCATGGTAAGGGAACACACTCATCACTGGCCCACACTAGCATGGCCTGGCAAGGGAACACATTCATCACTGGCCCACACTAGCATGGCCTGGTAAGGGAACACATTCATCACTGGCCCACACTAGCATGGCATGGCAAGGGAACACTCTCATCACTGGCCCACACTAGCCTGGCATGGTAAGGGAACACACTCATCATTGGCCCACACTAGCCTGGCATGGTAAGGGAACACACTCATCACTGGCCCACACTAGCATGGCCTGGCAAGGGAACACACTCATCACTGGCCCACACTAGCATGGCCTGGCAAGGGAACACACTCATCACTGGCCCACACTAGCATGGCAAGGCAACACACTCACACACTGTTCTCCTTGATCACTGAGACATTGTGATACATACATCAGTATCTTCAGGTGATATTGATTATTCATACCTGTTAGTTACTTATATATCCTGAATATTTATAACTACCGGTATTATGCAAGGCTTAATAATGGCATCTGTAGACTTTCAAGTCTGTGAGTCACTCCATTCAGCCTCTGATACCAGATGGTTCTTATGCCTTCGGAACAATAATTTACCTCCAAATTAATTCTGATTGTTGGGGTGTGAAACAGATAATTTAGTCCAACTGGAAGTAACGTCATGTTGAAGTATTGAGTTGTCACACAGTTGGGTAGCTGTTTGTTTTACCTGATGTCATTGTTGTGTAGTGTCCCAGGGTAACGGGGTAGAAGACTCTCCACATGGGCGCCACCTCCTGGCCGAGACACAGATCACTCAGCACTGTGGTGTATAGCCTCCACAGCCCAGCTACACTGTGCTGGAGGGCCGACATGCTCCTCTCCACACCCACTGCAGACAAATACATGGATGTCACACAGAACTACCCTATATTTCTTATATGAGATATCAACATTATGTACAGCCTCATTAAGGATGTTAGTAAAAGGTACACACTTTAAATTATTTACCCATATTCAATTAATGATGACTCCCAGAAATAGAATCCGACCACGGCAATTTCGGACAAGTCCATTTTATGAATAAAAATTTTATAAAATATTCTCACAATTATTTTTTTATCTATATCTTTTCTTCCAATACCGATTGTCATATCTCTCCCACTTTTGAGTGCGATCGTTCAGCCATTTTGAAGCGATTGTTTGACCATTGCATTTATCTACATCTGTGTGGCAACACACTAGACTCTTCCCTCTCAAAAATGATGTCCAAATTACGACTCATCAACTTGCGAGCACGTTTGAATCTCCAGAAATGATGTCATGATAGAACAATGTTTTATTGTGAAATAAACCATGCTTCATTCTTCATTGTTCTTTGCGATTTATTGCGTAGCTACCTTATATTACTGGGTATTGGCTAACCTTGGTTAAAAAAACAGTAGTTTTCAGCAGTTTCCCCAGTGCATGTAATAGTCTGACAGCCCGTCTGCCCATGGCTGGTAACTTTTCTTTTGGGCTGCATGGAATTTGCCTCCAACTGCCCAAGTTGTCTGGCAGACAATTTTAAGACTACTTACAATTCAGCTTAATTATAACTCCTTGTAGATTCTCAAGTGATTGTTTGAATTATTTCAACTGAATCAAGACTCGATTTGTCTCTTCTTTTTTTTTTGCGATTTTTCAAAATTTATAATATCTGAATGCAGGCAGGTAACTTTGAATATGGGCATGCAACACCTGCCTGACTGTCTTGTTGGGTATTAAAAATATTTCGCACTGTTTTTACCAAGTGGAAAGTGTCACCTGTGTCATTGTCTTAAGTCAACCCTGTCAAGGTGTATCACAGGCCCTTGTCTAGTAAAGCAGTGATCTATGTTAGTCAGGTGAGCCTGCTTAACATTGAAGAGATCTGTCTGCAGGCAATATGCTAAAGATGCCTATAATCAAAGGGAGATAACTTTGCATGAACTGAACACTTCCTCAAAATACACAGGCCGTCTGATACTAGGGGCACTAACATGTTTCTTTTATCTTACCTATTGTTGCCTTCGAAGAGAAGAAGTGGTTTTCTGAATTATTGAAGCAATAATCCATAGATATTTTTGTTTGATTATCTTGAAGCATTGATTTACTTCCATCTGGAACAAAGTACAGTTTTGATTAGGAGATAAACACACCAATAGGAGGAATTCCTGGGTAATCCACACCACACCCTGCAACACAATCTCAGATTCAGGCAGCCTGATGCATAGAGATCTATGAAGATAGGAGTGTCTAAGATAGATACATTTGCCCAATCAGCAGAGGATGCATGAGGCTAGGATGTATCTAATAACTAATTTTATAGCTCTACGGGTGTGAATCCGAGTTGTGCATACATGGATCCTGGGTGGGGGTGGGGGTGGGGGTGGGGGTGGGGGTGGGGATGCATGTTGGGTGGGGTGGGTGGAGGAAGGGGTGCTCAGGGCGGTCTGGACAATCCCCTCCTTTAAAAACCAAATGTAGTATGTTGTAGGCAGTAAAATTGACTGAGAGAGGATTCTGATATTTTGGACCCCTTTCAAAAATGCTGCATTCATCCATGTTGTGACAGGTCTGATGCTGCTCCACCCCTCTGACACAGGCAGTTGGTCAGTAGTGATAAGGACACTGTATCCTGTATCCCTGGGCCAAGCCCAGCAAGGCCCAAGCATCGATCCTGTCCCAGGCTTGGAAGTAGTGTTGAAAGCGACCAGCTAGTTCCAACTCTCCCAAGGATACAGATCCAGACAGGGACAGGGACTGTGTGCCTGTGCCACCATGGTGTCCTGTTATGACGGAAGGAACAACTACGGCAGTGCCAACGTCCAAGGCAGTCACAGAGCCCCCAGATGCATCAGATGTCATGTTGATAAGAGAGCAACTTGGCAAGCAAAGCAGTGTGGCAACACATCTGCTGAGCACGAGCCTAGGTTGACAAGAGGTAGAAACCTGGTGGCTTATATGTGCAGGCTACATGGCACCACGTGACAGCATGGTAGTTTTAATTCACTGAGGAGAATCTTCCCGAGGCAAACTGACTTTAAAAGTCCTGTTTCCACCCTTGCCAAAGTAGGCTAGAATTTCTGGCCTTGATCCTAGCACCACCAGTGGCTATTACGAATTATGTACCTTCTATGTCCCCCCTACTGACCAATCAGATCTCACCGCTCATGTCACTTGCATTTGCTTCAAACAAAATAGCGACGCCCACTGACATACACATGTTCTGCAAATTCCTAGTTCGGCAAGGGTGGAAACTGAACGATTAAAGTTAGTAAACTCCCTTGCCTCAGGAAGATGCTGTGGAGTATGTCAAAGGGACTGGTCATTGACGGAGTGAGTTGAGATACTTACTGGTACTGGAAGCTTGTTGGAGTAATCAACAATATGGACTTCACTCAAAATGGATTGATGACAATAAACACTATAATTATACGTCAAAACATTAACAAAGATTTGTGTATGAATCAATACACTTTTTATTTCATAGGCATGAAGATACAGTTGGTTTGAATGTGTCATGTTACCTGTCAGGACTGCAGTCCCTGTGTACGCCTGAACCTGCCACTCCACCATGGCGCCTCGCGGCAGTCGCGGGACCACTGCAATCCCCAGCATCGGTTCATGATCACACATCTCCTCCCCATACGCCCGCTCCTGGAATAAACATGACAGACCTCCTGTGACATCTGCCAATGTCTTCTCTGCTGACTAAACCTTGTAGTAAGATTTAAACGATTCGATGTCAAGTCTCCCTCTTAAAGTAAGACCTGGCATTGCTGCCTACCAGATACTTTACATTAACACAAGGCCTTTTCATATGAACCATAGTATCAACCTCACATGTCCTTGGTTCATGGGGAGACCAGTTTACACGACATACAGCTTTTCCACTGGATGAGAACCTGGCCACAAGACTGAGAAACTGATGTTCATACGAACAACACATTTTGATATTCATATGTTTTTCAAGAGACTGTATTCTTGAATGAGGTAAATACTGACATTCCAAGGGAAACTAGCATGAATTAAATACAGAAACATTGTTTCTGTTGATTAAGACACTTGCATTACATTGAAAGAGTGTTTGACAGAATACCCATCCTGTCGAACAAAACAAAGAAATGCACACCCAATCTATCGACTCTATGCCTGCAAAGACTGCCAGTGACTGTTGACAACATTCTACAGAGGCAAATTTACTTGAGTGTCTATCCGACACATCCTTATAATCACTTTTGAATGATCGGCCAATTGACTAGCACTTATAATCACAACAGGTTCACTGGCGGTTTCGGAAATCTCCCCTGTCACACATATTGTGTTGGCCATTTTGACGACTGATACTTTAAGTTAATGTATTACAGCACATTGTCACTGACTACTGAGGTGGTTCTCCCCTTCCTGCAGTCACAGACTACTGAGGTAGTCCCCAACAGACATAGGAAGTCCACCCTCTCCCTTCCTGCTGTCACAGACTACTGAGGTAGTTCTCAACAGACATAGGAAGTCCCCCCTCTCCCCTTCCTGCAGTCACAGACTACTGAGGTAGTCCTCAACAGACATAGGAAGTCCCCCCTCTCCCCTTCCTGCAGTCACAGACTACTGAGGTAGTCCCCAACAGACATAGGAAGTCCACCCTCTCCCTTCCTGCTGTCACAGACTACTGAGGTAGTCCTCAACAGACATAGGAAGTCCCCCCTCTCCCTTCCTGCAGTCACAGACTACTGAGATAGTCCTCAACAGACATAGGAAGTCCCCCCTCTCTCTTCCTGCTGTCACAGACTACTGAGATAGTTCTCAACAGACACAGGAAGTCCATCCTCTCCCTTCCTGCTGTCACAGACTACAGAGGTAGCCCCCAACAGACACAGGAAGTCCATCCTCTCCCTTCCTGCTGTCACAGACTACTGAGGTAGTTCTCCCCTTCCAGCAGTCACAGACTACTGAGGTAGTCCCCAACAGACATAGGAAGTCCCCCCTCTCCCTTCCTGCTGTCACAGACTACTGAGGTAGTTCTCCCCTTCCTGCAGTCACAGACTACTGAGGTAGTCCCCAACAGACATAGGAAGTCCCCCCTCTCCCTTCCTGCAGTCACAGACTACTGAGGTAGTCCTCTACAGACATAGGAAGTCCCCCCTCTCCCTTCCTGCTGTCACAGACTACTGAGGTAGTCCCCAACAGACACAGGAAGTCCCCCCTCTCCCTTCCTGCTGTCACAGACTACTGAGGTAGTCCTCAACAGACATAGGAAGTCCCCCCTCTCCCTTCCTGCTGTCACAGACTACTGAGGTAGTCCCCAACAGACAAAGGAAGTCCACCCTCTCCCTGCCCGCTGTCACAGACTACTGAGGTAGCCCCCAACATACACAGGAAGTCCATCCTCTCCCTTCCTGCTGTCACAGACTACAGAGGTAGCCCCCAACAGACACAGGAAGTCCACCCTTTCTCCCAGCTGTGTTACCTGTGTATTACTGACCGCCAGTCTCCACTCCCTCCCTGCGGCAGGTATGAATTCAGCTGATGTGACATAGCAGATGACATTGGTTACATTGGACAGACTGCACCCAGGATGCATTGCTGCGAGAACTCTCCTGACGTGGCGGAGAGAAAGTCGACACTCCGGCACTATTCCACCAGCGATGATGGTCAAGGAGGCTGGACACAGGGCTATCTGACCAGCCACAGCCATTCTGTTATATACCTGCAAAACAAACATTGTCCACACTCATTCACACACTCCAAATATCCAGGACAGGCGTGGGTTCGAATTCCGGTTCAGCCTGATTATGTTTCTAGATTTGTCAGCCCCATACCCTTGATGGGTTTCACCAAAGTGGTAAACATCTGAGACCTGCATCACTTCGGACTTTACTTTCACATTAAGTTGACACGTGATATGACTGGAATAATGTTAAAAGTGCCGTTAAGCCCAACTCACTCACTTCCTTTAGGACTGAAAAGCATGAAGTGAGGGGTCACTGAATGTTGTATAAGTATGTCTGTTGTAATGACAGGAGAATGTAGAGGAGACCAGGTTACTGGTTGTAATGACAAGAGATGGTAAATGGGATCTGTTCTTGTGAGCAATGAGTAGGGAATTTGGGGATGAGTCAATCTCATTAAAATCAGACCTTAGTTCTCGCTACTGCTAAACAAAGATCTGAAGACATCCCATTAGGGGTCACGTCAGAACCACCTAACATCTGACCAACCAGTGCATCGCTTACCAGATTATGAAAGTGACAGTCGGAATGTGATTTCTAATCATGCAATCTCGAAAACTTTAACATGGGGTATTCCGAACGATAGTTACGGGTTTAACGACTGAATCCTTACAATCTTGACCATCTATTAGCCATTCCAGAATGTTTTTTTGTTCAGGTTTCAAATTTGTAATCGAGAATTTGTCAAAATATGTTTCGAAGCGTAGTCGCCAATTTGAAATTTGTGCCGTAAAGCACGAGAAAGCTGCCTTCTCATTGGTCATTCCATTGGTCATTCAAAGTTTGCGCAAGGTCGGTCTGAAGCGTCCCGTAATGGGATGTCCTCAGATCTTTGTTTAGCGGTAGCGAGAACTTAGATATGATTTTAATGAGATTGAGGATGAGTTTCCCTCCGTGAGCTGTCACTCACATGAACTGCCTGGCTGTATGGGCCGATGTTGGCCGACGCCCAGTGTGATATGCTCTGAACATGCATGGTGTCCTTGACGTCATCACCTCCATCAGCAACATATCCGTGACAGTCAAGAATCAAGGCAGCATTCACTGGATTAGCTGTCTCAACACACACCCTTGGGAAGATAAACTGACAGTTAGGCATCTGAACACACCCCTTGGGAAGATAAACTGACAGTTAGGCATCTGAACACACACCCTTGGGAAGATAAACTGACAGTTAGGCATGTGAACACACACCCGTGGGAAGATAAACTGACAGTTAGGCATCTGAACACACACCCTTGGGAAGATAAACTGACAGTTAGGCATGTGAACACACACCCTTGGGAAGATAAACTGACAGTTAGGCATCTGAACACACCCCCCTGGGAAGATAAACTGACAGTTAGGCATCTGAACACACACCCGTGGGAAGATAAACTGACAGTTAGGCATCTGAACACACACCCTTGGGAAGATAAACTGACAGTTAGGCATCTCAACACACACCCCTGGGAAGATAAACTGACAGTTAGGCATCTCAACACACACCCTTGGGAAGATAAACTGACATAAAACATAAAGGTAATGAGTGAGGTGTAAGGGTCAGTCAGACACAAGCTTGCATTTGTTTTACATGCACTTGGTACATTCAGACATAAACATCACCTTGCACTTTTCAATAATAGATTGCAGTGGCGCATGTTCTATAAAGCTAAATCGAGCCCTGCCTGGATAAGATATAATGTGAGTTAGGCATCTGAACACAAACCCCGGTGAAGATGAACTGAGAGTAGCATCTGAAGCTGGGGAATAGAATATTCAAGTATGGTATAGGCTACTAAATAATCTAATACCCGATTTGGTGAATGACAAATATAATGTTTCTGTCATCCTATGTTATTGTGCCACACTAAACAATGATCTTCATTGCATAAAACAACATTTCGAAGGCACTGACCTGACTGGGGGGTTGATGGTGAAATATGTTTTGTAGACAGAGTTGACTCGTGCAAAGTCGGCCATGTTGTGGACATACAGACAGACAGACACCAGGTCAGCCATCTTCTTTCCAAGTTTCTCAACAGTCCCTGGATTTTAGAAATAGTCATTAAACACACATTTGGCTGCAAATTGTTTGGCTCAAATCCCGAAAGTCATCCTTGTCAGGTAAAAGTGATCTTTTCGAGCATATATTTAATTTCTTTAACCCTGAGCCTACCCCACCACCCCTCAGTAGAGAAATGAGCTCACCCTTTAGCTTGTCCATGATTGTCCGAGTGATGTCCTCTATACACTCTCCGTCAGTAGCCACAGCAACAAGACCAGTGACATAAAACCACTTCTGGCATACATACGTCTGAACCTGAATACTGTCTGAAATACAAACAGAAGACATGAATGATGGCCGTTGAGAGCTGCCATGTGTGTCATGGCGTATCAGACATAAACATCCATAAACCTACCTCCGACTCAGGAACTGACATATATATCTTCATATCATTTCAAAAACAATTTCCGGCAGTGTGCGAAATAAGTGTCTGCCCAACACCCTGTATCTACTTTACTTCCTGGCCAAGTAGCCCAGCTTAATTTTCTATCTAGTAACCAATAATATAGGAACATTGCTCCTCAATTGCAAAAAGAAAATGTTCACTTTAAAGATAAGACCGATACAAAAAAAACCCCAATATTGATCGTTATTCAGCTGACACAAAGAAGAAGGTTGACTTTTCTCAAGCATTATCTGAAGCGTCATATTGGCATCTTGTGATTCCATGGCTATCGCTCTGTTGATACTGACTCAAAGTGAACTTCCAACATTGTTGAGTGGGTTAGGTTTAAGGCCACATTAAACAATACACCAGTTATATCGCGGCATGCCAGTTTAATGTGGAAGGATATCCCGAAGTGATGCAGGTCTCAGACGCTTATCACTTTGGTGAAACCCAAGTGGCATAGAAACATAATCGGGGCGAACCAGGACTCGAACCAACAATCATAATGTTTCTGGCAAGGGACACAACTCTGCACAGCGCATTGCGGCGCCTTAGATGACTTGGCCATCAGTGCCCCTCTAACATTGTTGAAATTTGAAATAATTATTTGTCCTCGTACTTGATGAGGGGGGAAGGGGGAGAAATGGCTTCTCATTTAGCTGTTAAAAAAATATCTAGCTAGCCCGTCTGTCTAGTGCTTTTGAAAGCTATTTCACACACTGCATTCCAGTAGGAATATGAATGCATATGTACAGGTACCTGGGTATGATAGAATACTTTACAGAGGTGTGCCACATTCATTGGTTGTAGAATTTGCTGATTGAACTACCTCAATAACAACCATCAAGGGGAGGTAACTGCATTGCTCTACAACGGCTGATGGCAATTCAGTAGATCATCGTTTTAATTACTTTATATCTGCTCTTATGTATCTCAGCACCTGAGATGGTATCATATGTTCCACTGAGTGTGTGTTCCATCAGCAATTTTTCAGCTGTATAACAATGCTATTTCACTGAATTCAATATGGCAGATCTTATCTCTTCTTGCAGCGGATGTTTACCAACATGACAAGTCCACAGACATTTCAAATTACAGTAAACTATGTTTATAACAAAATCAAAGGGACCACTAATATTAGTTTGTAATACCTGTAGTTCGTTATAAGCATATATACTAAAAATGGCAGAAACTAAAAAATAAGTTTGTTATATCGGCCAGTTCATTATAAGCGTGTTTATTATAAACATAGTTTACTGTACCTACCATGAATATTATCTGTTGATTGTTTGCTTGTTTGGGATGGACTGGGGGGTGTTTCAGAAAACTCTTTTCTCTCCTCCTCTGTGAAGAGTTCCGACAGTAGGTCACAACCACGGGTCATTGGCAGGGACTGAAGATATTCCCGTTCTGATCTTCCCTAGGAAAATAAACCTGGTGTATTAAGGAAGAAACCCGTGAAGAAACACACAGGGAAAATACCAGCAAAGTACCTTCATTACTTTCGACAGAATCTACTAAAAATTACTGGAGATACTAGGCTAAAAAGATAATAGTCTTCGTTCTCAGGCACCGCCCGCATCATCATAAAGTCTGTGGCACGTTTCATTTATATTTCCATTAAAAAAAGAAGAAGAAAAAATCCTAGTACTTGAAAACAATGTGATCCAATACTGCACGCAGTTACTTCCCTTTACATGTGCACTGCTTTACTGTGCATCTCTTGTTATGGTCATGGTGGCATAGGAGTTTGTATGCTTCTTTATAGGCCCTTTCACAGGTACCCAACTGTCTATCTGGTTACATACTAGTTTGAACAAGTCAAAAAACAAAATCACTGGCCAGCACCATATTTTCAAAAGTCATTGCCTTTGAACCAGTTCTTTTATTTGTGTACGCCCTAGTCTAAACAATCCAATCTGGATAACTAGCTTGGTGACTTTGATGAAGCAGGGGATGGTGCTGACCGACAAAGGGTAACTACTGGGACGAATCTGGGATTCATAGCAGATCCTGCCAGCTAAAGGGAGGTAACTCTGCACACAAATTGCAGCTTTCAGATCACTGGGCTTCTGTGGCTACAGTTATAACAAATACTCTTTTGTATTTGGCAACTTAAGGTAGACTTGGAGCACACAACATTTCAAGTGTGGTATGTAGGATATGTCAAGTCCTGTTTTTCTAAGATGGTTTCTTACTATGTGGGGTTTGTCTTCAAGATGGAGTTTCTTGAGATTGAGGTAGGCAACTGGTGCAAATGCATCTTCAGAATGATTGACAGTTTCAGTCTCATCTCTGAAATACAGATAAGACTCGGATACAGAATAAAGTATACCCTCCATCTCTATTGCCTCACACACTTGTATACTGAACTGACAGTGCTTCTGATTGGTTGTTGGTGCGATTACTCATCCAATCAAATGTTCAGTGCTGACCCTAGCAAGTGTAGGCATAACAGTTGGATTTTCAATCAAACATAGGAAAAAAATGATGTGAAAAGATCTTAGTTAGTTTTGAAATCAACGTATTGGGAACATTGTGTCTTGAAATGGCTGAAAATACTTTTTTATTTGATAACAGTAATGTTTTATCACATGTGCAGTCAACATGAAGTATATTCTGAACAATTATATTTTAAAATTGGAATTTTATAGAGAAAACAGAAACACAGATTCAAAAGTTAGAAAACACTCTGACATGAATAATTTCTTTCTTAAGAAACATATCAATTATATACAGTAAAGATCACCAGAGAATAAGAAACCCACTTCAGGTTCATCCCTCAGTGAGACAATGATTGAATGTACTCACACAACTAGCTTCTTCTTGAACAAGGGGCAGTCTAGAGTGAAGGTCTCGAACTCGCCTCCCTCTCCGCAGATGTGGAGGCCATAGTCACTTTCCTGGATAGCAATACATAGCGCAGATAAATAGACATCACTTTCCTGCATAACAAGACATGGCAGATAGACATCACTTTCCTGGATAACAAGACATGGCAGTTAGATAGAAGTCACTTTCCTGGATAACAAGACATGGCAGATAGACAGACATCACTTTCCTGGATAACAAGACATGGCAGATAGATAGACATCACTTTCCTGGATAACAAGACATGGCAGTTAGATAGAAGTCACTTTCCTGGATAACAAGACATGGCAGATAGACATCACTTTCCTGGATAACAGGACATGGCAGATAGATAGACACCACTTTCCTGCATAACAAGACACAGCACAGATAGATAGAAGTCACTTTCCTGGATAACAAGAAATAGCACAGATAGATAGACATCACTTTCCTGGATAACAAAACATGGCAGATAGACATCACTTTCCTGCATAACAAGATATGGCAGATAGAAAGAAGTTATTTTGTTATAACATGAAGTTTTACCAATGCAATACCATATTCATTTTAATCATTGTCAGAGTGGTTGACGGAGCCACCTGGCACCACACCAGAATGTTTTATAAACAAGGAAGTGGCAGCTTAAAACAGGTGTTCCTGTTGTTGCCTTACCATCTTCAGCATGTGTGGATAAATGTCAGCTAGAGACTTTCCCAAGTGCTTCTTCGGATCAAGACCTGTAACAATACATTGTTATCTTCACACTCATAACTGCCTGTATCTCCGTGCACATGATAATTTCATTACATTGAGTGAGTGAGGTTTTACACTGCTTTGAACAGTATTCCATTGATATCATCATTTATTTGTGTCAGCTTGATGTGGAAGGAAAACCTGAAGTGATGCAGGTTTCAGACGTCTACCACTTTGATGAAACTAACGAGCATGGGTGAATTAGACAGCTGGGACACCTGTTGCCCCTCATTACATTGTAACAAACACCAGCAGGGCCCACTTGCACAAAGCGATCTTAGCGCTAAGATGATTGTAACTCCCATACTTTAACATAGGCTTACAATAGTTGTAGTGCTAAGATCGCTTTGTGCAAGCGGGCTCTGGTCTCTGACAATGACACGAAACAAAGCATCAACAAAATATATTGAGAGATACCTAAGGATAGCCCTAAATTGACCTTGAACCATACTTGTGTGATCACAAGATCTGTCTTCCTTTGATTTGTGTGTTTGTTTGTTTGTGTGTTTGTTTGTTTGTTGTTTAACATCACACACAGCAATATTCCAGCTACAAGATGGCAGTTTGTAAATAATCAAGTCTGGAGCAGACAATCCAGTGATTGACATCATGAATATCGATCTACGAAATTCGGATACGATGCCATGCATCAACCAAGTCAGCAAGACTGACCACCTGATCCTGTTAGTCGCCTCTAACGACAAGCATTGTCACCTCTTATGACAACCCGGATCATCACAGATCCATCAGAGCAAGTAACTGGGGCTATTTCATCGGCACTAGTAGCTGAGGCTACTTAACCAGCGCAAGTAACTGGGGCTATTTCATCGGTGCTAGTAACTTGGGTTAAATCATCAGCTCTAGTAACTGGGGCTATTTCATTGGTGCTAGTAACTTGGGTTACTTCATCAGCGCTAGTAGCTGGGACACTACAGTCTTACTATCAACCACAGCCAGCGAGTCTAATCACCCAATCCTGTTTGTCACCTTTTACAACAAGCATAGTCTCCCTTAACGGCAAGCATGGGTTGCTGAAGACTATTCTACCCCGGTGTCTACCTTTGACAAATCATGACAACACAGGACAAAGCAGCAACACCTCTACTCACCTAGTGCCGCCACTTTGATGATGATAGATTCCACATGACAATCAATCATTTCCTTCATCAACTCTTGTTGATTCCGTCTCCATAGAAACCCCAGTGATGTCAGACCCAGTCTCTGACAGCTGTAAGTACATATGCTTTATACTTTCTTTGTAAACACAATTAGTACAAACATTAGTACTTCAAGTGGTTAACATAGAAAGCAAATTTTGGGGGACACAGAGAAAAGGTTTCTCCTTATAAATGCCTTGACTTACACATTCTCCACTCTCACTCTCTGGTAGTCAGACAAAATGGCGCCCACAGACACACCCTCAATACAAGTCTCCGTCTGAAGCAAGAAAAAATTATGCATTTCAATTTGTAAATATTAACCATTGCAGTCTATCTGGAGAATATATTGTGTGAAACCATCGCAAACATATCTGTGATGCATTTATTCTTAGTTTGCTTTCATGTTTTGATATGCAAGTCAGCAATACCCTAGCCATACCCCACTGACCTGTAAATAATGGAGTCTGGGCCAGGAAAACCTCATCGATCACTCAATCCCCATTTTAGTCAGATCTAAAAGCAGGACCTCTCAATCCCCATTTTAGTCAGATCTAAAAGCATGACCATTCAATCCCCATTTTAGTCAGATCTAAAAGCAGGGCCACTCAATCCCCATTTTAGTCAGATCTAAAAGCAGGGCCACTCAATCCCCATTTCAGTCAGATCTACAAGCAGGACCATTTAATCCCAAATTTAGTCAGATCTACAAGCATGACCATTTAATCCTCATTTTAGTCAGATATAAAAGCAGGACCATTTAATCCCCATTTTAGTCAGATCTAAAAGCATGACCACTCAATCCCCAATCAGTCAAATTGGTTTTAGAACACATACACACTACAAATGTGTACCTTCACTGTTTTAAGCAGCTCGTAGAGGTCTTCCACCTCATCATCAGTTGTAGGGGAGTAGTATTTCCCGATCTGCTTGGAGGAGCCCTCTATGACCCTCCTGTAGAGCGGGAGGGTCATGGCCTCGGCGTACATCTCCACCGCATGGTGGCCCACAGTCTGGTACATGTAACTGTCCAGCTCATCTACACACAGCACCCACATCATCACATCATTCACAGAAAGAACACGATCGATTACGTCATTGTACCACACGGTTACTTGAAACCGATTTGGATACAAATCAGAAAATATAATGAAGTGAGGCGGAATATTCAGACGGAAAAAAGGAGGGTTCATAATATTACAATTAATTTATTCAGGCCTAATTGAAAGAGTAGGAATTTGCATTTGATACCAAAACTTTCATATCACAAATTGTTCAAGTCTTTCCTTATTTCACATCTCATGTATTCAACAGTATCCCCCTTTTTGCAATGATACATTCATTCTCTTTGCTCGATGTCTGTAGTGGCAAGCAACCATAATATGATTTGGGTCAATTAATATTTATCTTCTTTTTTTCTTATGACATTTTTATTTTCTGCATGCAACATATTATATTTTTCTCAGCTGCAAGAATATCGTTTGTTTATCACTTAGGAATTGTGGAAATTAAATGATGCTCCTTGTCTATACTGAATCTGTCTACCTCTGTCCTTGGGTTGCAGGTTGGCAAGTGCTACGATGTCATGTCCTTCCGACACACACTGCATCATGTTGTAACAGCTGTCCTTCCCTCCACTACAAACACACACACACAAATAGAGCTGGGTGGCACTGTGCAACTGAACTGCTTGGTATTGGCAACATGGTAGATGGAAGTCAAAATTCAGTAAAATAATAATACACAAACATACAAGTAAAAGTAGAATATGTTTCTACACAAAGATATACATGTAAAATAACACAGACTGCCAGGCACCTGTACGCGAGACAGCTACGCACCGATTTGTAGAAATTAAACATTTTTCAGCTGATTAGCAACTATGTGCATTTGTAAGCCTGAAAAATGACATACATGTCGTAATTCTATGATGAATAAGCTTTTAGAGAATACTAAAATGATGTTTCTGATAAATTCGCTGTCAAGGACTGGCTTAATCTGCTCTAATTTTGCAGCATTTCTCAAAATTTGATCGTTTCATTTTTTCGATAACTGGTATAACAATCAATAACTAAACTTAATTTTGTATTATTCTTTTAATAAATAACACTTGTAAACATGTTTTTATCAAATCTGTTATCCGTGGACAGGCCCATCTCAGGCAGTCACTTGTACACGTAGTGGGGACCTGTCTTGCGTACATGTTACGTCCTCTAATGACGAAGAATCATTGTGTTTATCTGTATGTGTGTTATAGTCATATTTCACAATAGGTGGGGATGAATCACAGGTATTTCATACAGTTAAAAACATATTCTGTTTGTGGCCCTTCTAATCTTTGTCAGCTCTGTTCCTCCCTCATGACCATGGTGCCAGTGGAGATTCTTGTTATATTTTAAAAACTAAAACCACACAAACAAATTTTAATATTTCACCAATAAAGTAACTGATTCTCCAACAAATTATTTTTAAACATGTTGTATTTCTTCTTGGTGCCCAACTGGCTCTTTGCAGTATTATTAATTAACTGTTTTAGTGATGAACAGTAAGGGTGCAGGCTAAAACGGCACCTCAGCATAACGTCACCGATTTCTCTGGTGAAAACGGCACCGCATTTGGCAAAAAACGGCTACTATGTTTCAGGCGAAAACGGCACCTCTATTCTTAATAACGATAACAATGATTTTTGTAGTAATAAAAATGGTTTATTTACATGGTATGTGATGTATTTACATGGTATTTCCTGTTTTCACAGATAAGTACATATGTTCATATATACAGTTCTTCAGTTTTGTCGGCATGTCCATCGTCATCTTCATCATGTTCACAATATTGGCCCATGTACAATCGAACATTGTGAGAGTACTTGGCTCAGGGAGAGGTCTCCACCTTTGTATCGTCGACACATACATCGCAGGATACAGCATGTTACGTTGTCACAATAAGTTGAGATGCGTATTAGCTAAGTTGGATTATAGTTGGAGTAGAGGCTAATTTCTAATGTAAACTTGTTTTAACATCTCACAATTATTGGTGTTTGCAAGTTACAATGTAAGTTTAATATCATTTATTTGACCAAGGTAAAATAATAAATAAGGTGCCGTTTTCGCAAGGCAATAGTAGCTGTTTTCGTTTGAGTCGAGGTGCCGTTTACGCCAATCGGTTCCGTTTTCGCCCGGTGACGTTTTCCTGAGGTGCCGTTTTCGCTATAACCCAACAGTAATTAACTCGTTTATCGATTGTGCTGCAATGTCGGCAAGTATTTAGATCTACAGCTTTATATTATATCATTATATGTACAATAAATTTAAATAGTTAGACTGCATACAAAACTATTTAAAGGTGAAAGAGTGTAACATGTGTTCTGACCTGATCAGCGCCACGACTTTCATTGTGAGTGGGTTCCTCTGATCGCAAAGTCATCAACTCTCAAATCAAAACACTGCCATGTGTGTTTGTACCGGAAGGAAATAATTTTCGTAATAACGGCGCATGCGTCGAGCAGATTTCCACGTCTGAACGTTTGTTGCAAGAAGTTGTTGATTTTCAATGAAATCTCACATCTAGTTGCTATAGGTAACGTTTATTGTAATTTGATAGCATTCTAGACTTGTTTATACTGTTTGTTTATCGGTATAACATTTGTGTCCATCATTTTGATGAATGTAAACAACGAAGCGAGCACCTGCCCTGCATTTCCTTCTTTCCCAGTCAATGACAGCATAACACATCTTCATGACTTTCAGTTTTACGAAGCTGTCAACATTGACAATATGTTTTGCTCCTTCAGCTATATTGCTTACTGAACCCTAGTTCTACTTGCCCCTCTGTCTATACTTAGAAGTGGCGGTCAGTAGATATAGGCCTAGTTTTGTGATCATAATAAACAAGAGCTACAACGTAAACAATCCCTGAACTGGACAAAATACCACGCAATATATTGAGTAGAAGCCGTCTTTTTGGTTTATAAATCCTCACCATTGCAATTAGTGCTATTTCATCTTATTGACTTTGCCCCCATGACCTTTATCGAATATATTTAAGACTAAGGTTTCTTTATTACATGTGGAAGTAACTTCCTTTCTTAATAATTGATACCCATGAAGATCCGGGTTAGAACAGGTCTTCAGCAACCCATTCTTGTTGTAAAAGGTGCCTATGCTTTGTCGTAAAAGGCGACTAACGGGATCAGGTGGTCAGACTCGCTGACTTGGCTGATGCATGTCATTGTATCCCATTTGCGTAGATCGAGGCTCATGATGTCAATCACTGGATATTCTGGTCCAGATTCGATTATTTACAGACCGCCGTCATAAAGCTGGAATATTGCTGAGTGTGCCGTTAAACAACAATCAAACAAACCTCTCAATAATTGATTGTACATGTTGCAGACAGTTAGACTGACTCATCAAAAGAGGACCATTTTCTTCTTTCACATGGTATTTGCATAACCACAGCATGAAAGTCAAGTCATCCTTTATTGTTATATGACATATATAAAAGTTAAAGATTTACTTTCATTTAGGCAGTCACTAGATTCAAATTCTCAAGGAACTTTGGACCCCTCCTTATTTCGAACACTGCATGTGCTGGTGTCATGTGCTGCTCATGCTATAGACAGAATGATAGAATATGGTCCTGTGGGGCTACATACCAATATCAGTGGTCAAATGGTTGTTTGATAATACTGATATATTCATATCATGTGAAACCTTGAAGTGTTTCTGTAGTCATGGTAGTGCTTCTGTAGTGTCCATGGCTACTATCAGATTAAATTTTTGTATATATTTACAGGTTTCGGTTGAAAACCGAAAATGTCGTGGCTGTCAGCTGTAACTGGGAAAGCTGAGGACTTTCTGAACAAGCTTGATCAGTCTGCTGCCACAACATTTCATCACCCAGATGAGCCTCAAACCCAAATCACCACACCATCCACACAGCAGATCACTGTTGGAGGGTCCAAGTCTTCCTCGCAGATTCTGTCCCCTTCCCAGAGTGTTCCCTCGCGTCTCAAGGACTTGAAGGGAAGTGTCAACCCCTCCTCGGGTTTTGTCAGTTCTCCTGTAAAACAGACTCCAGTGAAAACAGCTGCACCACCCAAAGCAGCAGCTGCCAGTACCAGTGCCAGCGACACCAAGGTCAAAAAGAAGGATTCCGATGAGGCATTGTTTGAGTTCCTCAACAGCAAGGACCCGGTGGAGAGTAAGAAGAAGGCTGCAACACCAGTGAGTAGTCATCATCACTCCAGACAGTCCAGCACTTCATCGAATGTCTCCCACAAAGACGTCCGTCCTCCTGTCGTAGAGGTCACAAGTCAAGTGGAAGTTGTTTCTACGGAACAGACACAAGGTAGATATATATATCACGTATGGGATCCCGGGTTGTTAATTAGAAATTATCAATTTGGTATTGCTATTCATTAAATTGAATTGATACAGTATCAACATTAGAAATATACCTATACATCGATATTGCGATATAAGATGACAATTGACATCCTTATTGCTGTCTGTAGAAAAAAACAAAACTATCATATTACCAGGATTACTGTGACAAACGGTAAATCATAATGAGGTGAGGTAAAATGGGGTTTAATGTCGCGTCCAAGATTATTGCACTTATATAGTGACGTGCATGTACGTATGTGTGTGGCTGCTTGTACTAGTCCGGACTGATGCCGATTTATAGTGCTAGCTCACTGAGATACCATGCCATTGTTTAACATGAATACCCCACTCAGACACAGTATACTGACTCCGAGCCGACCAGTCCTTGTTTTAGCCCTTTAAATGCCGAGCGCCAGACAAGTACCATATTTTAACGTCTTTGGTATGACGCGGCTGGGGATCGAACCCCGAACCTTCCCCTCTCCGGGCGGACGCTCTACCATTGTCTACCACTGGACCACAGAGGAGATCATAATTAACATATATATTGACTTCAGATAAGACAGCAGAGTGTTTTTTGTACTGGTCTTAGCCATAAAGACTTGTGACCACTTTGATAAAAGCAGTTACTGAGATATTTCACGAACCCCAAAACACTAACCAGGATGTCATAAACATGTGCTTAGAAGATCAATATTCAGAATTATTGTCGATGGGAAGAAATATTAATGATTATCAATATGAAATTGTTTTCATTGATAATAACTTACAACCTTTTAAAGATTTACCGAAACAGACTTGATATTCTCAATTATGTCAGTTGTCAAAGATGGAAAGCAACTGTTTTTGTTATATCTCAAATGTCCACAAAGTAATCCATGCATAAATCTGTCACTGCTCGCCAGTGGTGTGAACTATGTTGATTTTGGGGGACTTTCAGGCACATTTGCTTATGGATACTTCTCTGATACTTATTGATAATTGATCTCGATCTATATTGAAAGCCATGCAGCTAGGGCTGGGACGAGTCCAAATTTACTACCCGGGTACCCGCTGTAGGTCTCAAGAGATAGGTAAAACATGTTCGATTGGGAATAGTTTGAACATACTCCTGTCAAAATAAATTTAGATACACATATAAGCCGATCTGGTCATGCATACACTGAAGTTGACTGATGTTGTCTAATATTATGCAAACATATAAAGTCAGAAGGAATGTGTGCAAAGTCTGAAAGAAATGTGAACATTTATCACTGTTTAGTGTAATCACTAGAGTTCTAGATATTTTTTGCCATTAAACAATATACAGTCAAGTCCTGTTAATCCGACATCGATGGTTGCATATGTCAGTGAGTATGTCGGATAAACAAAATTATGTAGTATCAATGTTCGTGATCGAAAATCGGACAGCTACATGATAGATAAGGATTCCAACATGTAATAAAAAATATAAAATAAATATTCATATTGCTATGTTACAATGTTGGCGGAATATGTTTTCTAATCATGCAACCTATAAAGTTAAACACAAAACAACTGTTACAGAATGTAAGACTTATTCAAAATACTTTAAAAAGCATAGTCTGGAATGGAAGTCGCAACTTTGAAACTGGTACCCAAAGCTTAAGGAAGCTGCTTTCTAAGAGGTTAACGTCGGCTTCCTGTTGGTCATTTCATTGGTAGGTCATAGTTCGCGAAAGGTTGTTCTGACGTGACCTGTAATGGGATGTCCTCGTCGATAGCGAGAACTTGTATCTGATTCTAATAAGATTGAGGTAATCTAAGCATGTGGTTTTTCCTCCTTTCTTTATTAAAGCATTAATTGTTTATTGTTAAGCAAGTTTATCTCTGCAGCCGTTGTAATATGCAGCTACCAGCTGATTCGTCTCGCATCAAAACACAGGCTTTGTACTCGCGGGCAGATGACCACGGAGTACGCTGATCACTGTGTCGAATAAACGAGACTGATTAATGAGAAATTTCGGTAATTCGTTGCTAATTAGGTGATTCGGAGTGTGAGACTGTCGGATTAACAGGTCTAAATAGCACTGATTTAATCGGTTCCCATCATTAGTGTCGGATAAAGCCGAATGTCGGATTAAAGAGACTTGACTGTAATCATGTGACTAACCAAGGGTCCTACTCAGTACCCACCCGAGACCCAGGTACCGGGGGTACCAGTCCCAGCCGTATAGCCAGCCCTAGTGTTTGTGGTTGTAAAATGAATTTAAACTGTTTTACAAATTGGGCATGTTGGGTTAAAATATCTTCTTAGCATGTTTAAGACCCGTGAAGATTCCGGGGTAGAATAGGTCTTCAGCAACCCATGCTTGCCGTAAAAGGTGACTATGCTTGTCGTAAAAGGCGACTATCGGGATCAGGTGGTCAGACTCGCTGACTTGGTTGATGCAGGTCATCGATCCCAATTGTGTGGATTGATGCTCATGATATTAATCACTGGATTGTCTGGTCCAGACTCTATTATTTACAGACCGCCGTCATATAGTTGGAATGTTGCTGAGTGCGGCGTTAAACAACAAACCAACCAACCAATCTTAACATGTTTAAGAATAGAATAAAAGTGGTGTGGGGAAAAGTACTACTAGACGAGTGTATGGATGGTATTGTGTCCAAGAGCATTGTATGTGTCCTGAATGATTTTCATTAGCCTTGGAATAATGGTATAGCTTAAGAATTTTATGTTGTTTTTGTCATCAGAGCTGTACATTAGCTGCGTATTTGCGTAAAATACACATTAAATCAACTGAAATACCATCTTCCCAAGGCAAGAGAGTTAACTGACTTTAAAAGTCCAGTTTCCACTTCCCGAGGCAAGAGAGTTAACTGACTTTAAAAGTCCAGTTTCCACCCTTGCCGAACTAGGCTGGAATTACTGGGCTCGATCGTAGGGCCACCAGTGGCTATTGCGAGTTATGTCCGTTCTATGCCTCTCCTATTGACCAATCAGATTCTACCTCTCATATCACTTGCATTTGCTTCAAACAAAACGGTGGCGCCCAGTCAAGACGATCTGATTGATAATCAAGATATATATTGTGATAAAACAAGTCTTACATTGCGAAGTGCATCAAATCACCTTGATTAAAAGCATGAAAAGATTTAGAAAATATCTGTTGACAACGAGTTAGCGGTGCACATGCTTTGCAAATCCTGCAGTCGACAGAAATCTGCATGACACTTTACAAACTGGATTTCGATTTCAGTGCACGATTTTGATTGGACTATGCATAAACTCATTAGTCCAGCCAAAATGTAACCCCATAATACCAGCCTAGTTTGGCAAGGGTGGAAACTGGACTTTTATAGTCAGTTAACTCACTTGCCTCGGGAAGATGCTGAAATACTCAGACAAATCAATTCCTTAAAGTATCAAATATGCAACAAGAACTATAAATATGCTATTGGAATAAAACTTATGTGTATATTACAACTGTTAGATAAAGAAATTGCATATCAGCCGATTGCGAACTTCACTGACTGACAGTTACATTTGGTAAAACATGTGTATAGTACTATTCATTTGGTTTTATAGGATTTACAGGGATTGTTACGAAACAGATTTTCAAGTTGAAATACCCAAGTGTAAAGAAACATGTGGGTAAAAAAATAACAATTATGGATACCCAATACACATGAAACCCATTGGTAAATTATCCTGTGGATTGTTCACGATATTAACCACTGTAATTTCTTGTACAGACTTGATTATTTACATATTTCTGAGTGCTGTGTTAATCAACAAACAAATCATTACACCATTTATCTGTTATGTCAAGTGTCAGGTATGTCAAAACTTATCTTGTTCGATTTTTATTAGAAGGAGAATCTCAGCGTGAAAGTCCAACTGGTTCTAATGCATCAGCTGATATTGAAGCCCTGGCTGATGCCATGCAAGAATCTCCAGCAAACAGTGAACACAGTAGTGCTGGGGACATTGAGAAGGGAGATAACTCTCAGCTATCATCACTTGAACTTGAGAACCGGCTCCTAAGAAATGAGATTGCATCCTTGAATCAAGAAATGGCTTCATTGATTCAGAGGGCAAAGGATTCCCAGACAGGTAATAAAAACTGAAAAAAACACCAAAAGACTGGAATTGATGTAGCATTAGAACATTCAACATGTATGTTATGTATGTACTATATACACTGATATAATCATGATAAGAAAGATAAATTTGACCAATTATTTTGCTTGTTTACATATTTTACTGTATTTATGTTCTATTTGTTGGAGGCAAAAAAAGCAAAAGCATATCTTGTCACTACTGATTCCGAAGGACATTTTGAATAAAGATTTGTTCAAACCAAAAGATGTTTTAAGAGCTTATTTTTGTATCAGACAATTTTTCGTTAGACACTTCCAGAAAAGACCAACATTAACTGGCCTTGCCTAACATGCTAATTGCTATAGCTATGAAAGGTTTGCAGTGTGGTTGCCTTGAATCCGAGGAGGGATGCAGGTCTTACACAACATGTCTTACTCGTTCATCCAAATTCAGAGTTGGTGAAGACAAAGAAGAAACTGGAGGATTATCACAATTCTGCGTCAATGCATGATCAGTTGGTGCGGGAGCTGCAGGCTAGGGAATCGGACCTCTCTGAATCACTGGCAGCAAAAGACTCCCAGCTGGCTGTGTTGCGCATAAGGCTGGAGGAGGCTGACCGCAGTGTTAAAGAGAGGGAGAAGCAAATTGAGGATCTGCAGTCACACAGAGAAAGGTGGGTCCACTGTTACTGTTAAATAATGGCTTGTTGTATGCTGATTATGGCATGTATAGTATTGTGGTGGCATGTGGTCGTGTGCATAGTGCACAGGTCACAAATCAGATACAGTTTAGCAATCGATCGCGGAAAGTCTGTGGATGGGTTACCACGTTTCGGCAGTTCGGTTCCTGAGAGTTTCTAGGGCTTTAGTCCTGCCACACACTGAAGCACATGTAACACATGTGATGTCTCGTTGGGCCAGTGAGTTTGTTCGAAAAGTGCTTCTGTTCATCCAGCAGTGAATGGGTACATGGTTGGATAGGTTGAGTTGTATACTCCCCAAGGAGCTGAAAATGATTCTTGAGTGCACACTGATCCAGTGTCCGGGGTAATAATAGGGCTTTCAGAATGCCTCTGAATTTGGTGCAATGTAAATGGTCTATTATTGTATTATTACATCTGCCTGTTATTGTATACTGCAGGATTTACTGAGTGACCTAAAGTTTAATATAGTTGTTATAATAAGATTTATCTCTGAATGCAGAGTTCTTAGTTAACCATGAAAAGAGCTCTTGTCATAACCCTAATGTTACACACTAAAGATGGAGGAAGTCCTTAGATGAAAGTACTTGAGCAGCACCCCAATATGCAGGGCCCCCTTAAAGCTCAGGGCCCCGATCCACAAAGCCTTCGTAACTTACACATATCGTAAGAGTTTACGATTAAAATTAAGATAATTTTACTAATATTTACGACCGATCCACAAAGCGTTCTTAATCCGTTCGTAAATTCATCGTCTTACGATCATTGTCGTAAATTAAGATTGTCGCTCTCCTGTGATGGAGGTAAGAATATAGGGGGATTCCCCAATGACGTCATTAATTTACAGGGGAATCCCTTCACTGTATTAGCAGACGACGCCAGTCGTATCTATATCAAGCGATCATGGATGCTAGTCAACCATTGACATTGAAACGCCAAAGGAGCAAGAACTGGACTAACAGTGAGTTAGCCCTTCTAATAGAGGGTGTACAGTCAAAGAAAAACGTGTTGTTTTCGTCATTTAGCAACAATTTGACGAACAGAATGAAGAAGAAAGCATGGGAGGACATTTCACAGAGGTGAGTGATTCAATGAAATTGTGTGTGTGTGTGTGTGTGTGTGTGTGTGTGGAGGGGGGGGGGGGGGGGGGCGTCATATGTCTGGTATAAACTGGAGTACAAATATGTAAAAAATGATCACGTAATACATCGATGTTTTATGTTGAATATTGCAGGGCGAGGTAAGTATTCTGACGGAAATATCTGTAGCCTATCTCACCAACCTGTCAACATGGTGTTACTTCATCAACCCGTCTTTGGTAATAACTTGATTCAAAGGATATACATAAGCTGGAACTAGCGCTGCAGTGTCACAGGCAGCCATTTTGACACTTAGAAAGGGACACCACTCTCTCCGTATTTTAGACGAGACATTCTCGATACATTATGTTGCTGGGATTTTGGAGTTCTAACCCTTCACTCTATTACTGTTATTCTTGACAATTTATTAAAGTTCACTGATCTTGTTTCAGCATCAGTGCAAACAGTGGTGTCAAGAGACTGACCAAAGATGTTAAAAAGAAGTGGATGGACTACAAGTATGTGTATACAATTTAGAACATAACATTATTTTATGTAAACAATTACTCATTGCATGGTATAAAACATATGCTTATCCTGACATACATGTTCATGTTCTGTGAAACATTGATATTTAGCTGTTATTAAATATAAATTAAAATTGTTTATACTGGTACTTTTTTATAGATAATGATAATACGAGGTGTGTTTGCTCATTTATACATTTTGTTCCGTCAGGAGTCAAACAAGGAAAAAAGAAGCTGAAAGAAGGAGGGAGGCAACGAGAACCGGTGGGGGGCCTCCACCATCCAGCCTCACTGAAATGGAACAGCGGGTGAGCCTACAGTTTCTTTTTCAATCTTGAATTTCATAAATGCTATATCATTGGGTGTTTTTTTTTTCTTATATGTGGGCATAATGAGTACTCAACAAATACAAATGAATATAGTTGCTGTTGAATTGTAATTTTACAATTTATATGAAAAGCACTTAAAGGAGCAGATAGATTGTGATTATAACAAACAGGTAATCTTTTGACCAATAAGTTATTAGGTAAAGTACTTCATTCCTTATTACAGAGAACATTAACATTGTAACATGCATTGAAAGAAATATTGATTTCAGGTTGTATCATTCATACCTCCCTGCTCGATTCAAGGCTGTGAGGGTGGCCTTGAAAGTGAAGAATATGAAAGTAAGTTGCATAATTGGTTGTGTGAATGGCTGTATGTGCAGTTGTTTACTTAACCGGTCTCATAGTTTATGTTAATGACCATATGTCAGATATATTATAGATTATCTCATACAGTAAAGGTAATTGTGATCATGTAAGATAAAAGATGAAGTATAAACTTAAAGTTGATTTTGAAATTGGATTAATAGTTCCATGAATAACCATACTTTTTGTAGATTTTGCCTCTTTTCATTGCAGAGAAATTGGTAAATTGGAACTACATGTATCATATTACTTACAGACACTACCCCAGCAACTCCAGTTTTTCCAGAGACTCTTCAAGCCCTGCAGGACTTGCCTTGTGATGGGGCCTTTGTGCCACCAACATACATCATGTACTCAGAGAGTGTGATGTCGGCAGATGATGTTCCTCAAGGTATTACCATATACATAATGGAAATACTGCACAATAAATTTAATAAAACTTTCAAGGTTCTGGGTGGGGAGAGATTTGCAACTGTGATAGTTTATTGCAGGTATACCTACCACAAGATAAGATGAAATCATGTAAACAACATCACAGTTCTTAGAAATACAGTTCATGGATTTTAATTGTATTTCCAATCTCTGTATGTGTTTATGTATTATGTATTATAGGGAGAGAGGTGTTTACTTAATATTCCTGTGTATATGTTTTAAATACAACATTCACATGTCTCAGTTAAATGATTTGTTTCTTTAATACAGTTGATGCAGTTTCACATGTTAAGGCCACAAAGACTCTCAGTGGTATGTACAGCAATACATCAAATTTGAAATGATAGAAAGAGAAAAAATGTAATTTACTCAAGAAACCCTGATGTTTGTTTTGATAAAGTTTGTATGAAGATGGACGAGACATAACTGTTGCTGTGAGACTTGTGAAAATTTCTTTCAGACAAAGATAACATTCTGAACATAGAGAGGGAGAAACTGAATGTGCTGAAAGAGCTTCTTGAGGTCGAAAAAAAGAGATTACATGTGGAAGAACAGAAATTGGCCTACATCATTTCTCTGGAAGCTGGCCACTCTGGTCAACTGAATGTATCACCAGTTATTCAGTTCCTTTAAACTTTGATTAATTTTCCCAAATATAAAAATTCATACTGATAATGTAGCTTCTGTTGTCATTTATCATCGGTTACAAAAAGTCGTTTATCTTAATCATACAATCATTTAGAGAAACAGTTATTGACGACAGCTTGTCGGACTTTGAGGCCGTCATTGAGAGGTCCCAGGTAAGCTATCCCATCTTCTTGGAGCAGGTCTTCTTGTGTAGGAGGAGCTGGCAATCTTAGGCTGATGCAGAAGTTATGCAGCTGACAGGTTGCATACACAACTTGATGGCATTTTGGGGGGGTGAATGGCAGGCAGCCACCTGATTTATGTAGGCACCTAATAATGTATATAAACACAAACATTACCCTTTGTTCAGAATGCAGATAAGATAGACTAGTCGCATTATGATGTGTAAAACTTGAAATATTCTTAAAAGACCATATCTCTGATTTACTTTAAAGTATGAGTATTATCTTAAAGCATAACATCTTAATCTGTCATTAGCACAAACATATGCCATACTAATGTCTCAAATATTGAAAAATGATATATATGCTTGAGTAGAATAAGGGATGAACATATACATGTACATGCCTGAACCTGGATTTAAGGAGTCCAAAGGCCCTCTCCACAGTGTTGCGTGTTCTGCAGTGTGCAGTGTTGTAACGTTCCTCAGACGGTGTTGTAGGGTTAACTATTGGCGTAAGCAGCCATGGGCGACATGCATATCTGATGTAAAAATTGTAATTCTGTTAAACATACTGACCATACCATTAAATATTGAAATACAACTTAAAATACCAGCTTATATATTTCACTTCAAATGTTATTTCATTTCGTGACAATTTTATTGGTGTCAGTCTACATTGTGAAATTTGGGGTTAAGTACAAGGGGAAATCACTTTCACGCAGAGCTAGATTTTATGGGCGCTGCTTTCAATTTATGATCAATATATTTTAAAGTGACTAATATGAAATAAACATTGGAATCTGAAAATCACATTTTGATTACAGTATCGTCTTCTGTGTGCCAAGTTACAAAATATCAACTTCTTGTTTATGTGTTTTCATATCTCTGTAGTGGTTACAATACAACTTATGTTTACACAAATGATTTGCTGTTACCCTGAATCGCCTAGCAGCCATCCGTCATTCCCAGCAGTCTCCATATACTGCCCAATCTTGCTGTTTTGTAGCATGAACGAATCATGAGTTGAACCAGGCCACTTGGAAACCACACTTGTAAACCTTTTGATTATATATACATATTTATAATTCTTCCATGAGCCATGCATTCATAAATCGATATTAAAGTTATTTTCTCAAGTCCCTGTGTGTGTGTGATAGTCCAACTGGCTGTTAACAGTTTTCTTTATTCTTTATTTTTTCAGCAGTGAGCATTGCTTTAAGTACTAAAACAATCGTCCTTTATCACAATGGTAATTCCGCACGGTAATAGAAACCTGTATTGGACCTCATGACAAAACCCATGTTGGGCCTTACGTAATGATTGGTCAACAAAATGAGTAGGTGGCACCACTAGTCATTGTCAAGGTCATTAAAGAGAGTAAACAAGGTGTGTATCCTTCGATGTTTCCCTGAATAATGTTGTTATTACGTCT